GTTTATCTGTGTTTTGGTCATGAAATCAACAACTCTCTCTCACGCTGCGACAATCAATATATGCGAGATCGGCAGCGTTTCAACTCTTCTTTCTTTTAATTGGAATGTTGTAAATTACAATTTAATTCAATTTGGTTCGACATTTCTTGTTATTTTGCATTTACTTTCTGTTCGTTTTTGCTGCTGCTGCTTGATATTTGTTGTCTTTCTTTTGTGGCAGTGCGCGCAGTTTTTCTCTTCTTTTGCTTCTTCTTCTTCTTCTTGGCCACGATCGTACCGTAATTTGACTTTTATCGGAATAGATATAATTAAACTCGATCACATGCATTTATTTACTGTGTTCGATGCTTTCTCATCGAACTGTGACTTTTCGAGAAAATGAAAACATCAAACGTGTTTTTTTTTACATGCTGGTCGCTCTCTCGGTCGAAGCCGATTTTGTGCATAGAAAGCCAGCGACAGGCATAAATAATGCGATCAAACATTGTAGTGCATTTGGTGCACACAGTAAATGTGTGATCGACGACGATCGAGCTCAATTTTCTATATTTAGCCACCTGTATGTGAACACCAAATTGCCAAGAATGCATTTCAATTGACTGGCGAATCGGTTAGGCCTGTATACAATGGACAATAATAATTTCAATACAATTTGCATTTTTGTTATTTACATTTTATTTTGTTGTGCAAACTGCAGCGACGAAAATTCTCATGAAATTTTCTATTTCGCTGTAAGAAGAACGAAAAGCGAAAGAAAAAAAAGCGAACAGTGCTCGCCGAGCACCATCGTGTGTAATTAAGGTGACTTCAAACGCCTTACGGGCGAAATATTGATTTTTGACAGCCACAAAAAAAAGAGAATTCATTTAATGCGCTACATTGGCAAAGTCACACCTAAGCAAATTAAATGCCCTTGCAAACAAACGAATTACGAGTAAATATTGTTTTGGTTTCTTATCTATCCACTTTGTTTCTCATTTTATTTTTTCATTTCTTCTTTTCTTGTGTTTCAAGTTTTATTATTACAACTTGGCAATGTTTTTTTTCTTTCTGTTGTGTTGATTTGTTGATTGTCGGGGCTCCGTTCGAATTGTGCTGAAATCGAATTTTGCGAACAAACGAAACCCATTACTACTTTTTACTTTGCTTCACTTAATTTTTCATTTCGTTCAAGCGATAGAAAAATCGACAAATTTCAATTTCTAAACACAATTATCATTGCTTGCATTTTTGTTGGTTTTCGAACCCTCTCCATCGCTCTCTATTGCCACGTTTCTATTGTTCAAATCGTGTATCCATAACAATGGGAGAAAAATTTAATCATCCATTTTGCGTCGATTCCAACAAACACATTGCGACATGACACATATATGATAATTGCGTGCACAGTGCAACCGCATACCGTGTATGTATTGTCTTTGGAATATTTGTGCACGCGGCATGCGTGTTCGTATTTACACTAAGGTGTGAACTACATTAAATGGTTATTAAGAAAATATTGGCATAGAAAGAAATGTGTCGAACAATTGCATTTGTGAATGGTATATGGCGTTATCAATGCGGTTTTGTTTATTTTGGCTTTCGATTTGGCCAATAGGTACAATGCCTTTCGCTCGGGCTACTGATAAAACCAGATATTGATTTATTATTAGTTTTTTTTCTCTCGGTTTTTCTCAATATTTGTTCAAACTCGCAATCACATCCGATTGGTTTTATGTGTCACCATGCTATTGACTTCCACCATATTCATTCATTGTTTTTCATATAGGGCACAACGTTTGGCCACACATATTTCTTTCTGTTTTTTTTCTCACTAAAAAACTTGAATCGGAATTTATGGACTACATTTTCAAAAGAAAGAAAAAACGAGCCGGTATAAAATATGAGTCAATGATCGGTTGAATGTGGTTATCATAAAACCAGAACAACAATTTCAATCGAATGCACGAGTTCAATGCTTCTCATATTTTCTTTTTCATTCTGTTTCCTCAATTTAAAAAAGAAGACGAAAAAAACACAACAAAATTTGATACTCGACAATAAATTGCTTTGAAATTCAATCGTTTCTGATATGAAATGACCAAATCGAAAGCGATGCAAACGTGGAAAAAAGCAGTGTGGTCAAACAATTGCAATAGATACAAATCATCGTTTGTATTGATATGCTGCTGCAAACGATGAATAATATTGTTAGGCGTCAGTTTCACTATGCCAGCGCTACATCTCGCATACAAGCAAAAATCTATTTCGTTTTCGCCTGTGGTCGAGATTTTTTGTGTCGATTTTTCCGAGAAATGAGTTTGAGAAGTGAAAATAAAACACTAGCCAAATTGCGATGGCTCGTTGCAAACGTATGATTATGGAAGCGCCATTTTCACATGTGTTTGTTGTTTATTGCACGGCGAGCAAAAACAACAACATTCACCCCGGTTGTATTGAAAACGAGTCGCCGTCTGTATGAGTATAGAGAGATAGATATGTATATGTTCAGAATGATGGATGATTTGTGTTCTTTGTGCATAGATGAAAAGCGGCCGGCAAATGCGCCAGATAAAAGCATTGCCAATGGTGAATTTTTAGGCCGCGCACATATACCTCACACATTATGCAATCCGTGCACAAAGTGGACTGACGAAAAAAAACAACAACCATACGAATAAACGATCGCATCCAGCCAAAAGTGATGGCGAAATCGGACAATAGAGAATTTCAAATTGAGACAGTACAAAGAAAATAAAGCATCTGCCCTCACCGGTCAAACCAAAAATTTGCAAACAACATCGACAGCAAATGAAAAAGAGAAAAAATTATGATGTAAATCGCAATTGGTTTTGCAATTATACACGCGATTCAACAATTTATTTACTGCACTGTGCACCGTTTGACCATTCTCTGTCTACACTCTTGAAATAACAACTGCGAAGAGAGATAGAGACAGCAAAAAAAATTGCATTCAATTCCAAGATGCAAACAAATCGAAGAAATCAAAGAGCCGATCGAGCGGCTGCATCGACGAAACAAACAAAAAAAAAGTAACAAACCAAATTGAAAATTGCTCATAGGCGTTACACGATCTGCATTTCGTCTGTTACTCAAGCCGTAAATCACAAGTTGTATTCCGTTTATATCAACATTACTAACGATGGACTTATCTGAAATTGTAAAATGCTTGTCGTTGCGGCTGCTGCTGCTGCTGCTTTACGTGAGTGAGTGTGTGCCCGCGCCCTACACATGGGCTGCACGAATTCAAAACAGTCGACAGCTAACGAACGATCGGACGAACGAACAGTGTGATCATCATCATAAACATATTTCTTTTCCAGAGATTCTATTGAAATTGTTTAATTTATAGTCGGCTTAGACTTGTAAACACGTTTCATTTTAAATGCGACGGAATCCACGTCGAGAGACGGAGAGATGCACTTCTTTTTCGAAAATTGAAAATGTGTTAAATGTATTTAAATCGGACGCAGAACCAACTGAAAAAAACCGATTAAATGGGAATTCAGAATGAAATCCAAAGAAAGAAAGGGAAAAAAAAGAAGAAAAATCGTTGAGAGAAGAAAAAAAAACCGCACCGAGCCCGATATCATTTTTATTGAAGCAAACAAGAAAAATGATGATTTTTTATGCTTCTCTTCGTAGTTCATATATTATGATTATTTATGCTGGTTCTGGTGTGTATCGGCTTGGTGATCGCTAGTGGGCAATAATCATAGATGTTTCATGCCATGCATATCATATGCACGTCAATTTCTACATCCACAATAAGACCGACGCGCGCAGGTTTAATGGATTGGAAACCTGTTGTCGGTGCATTTTATAACGACTTATTAGCTGCAGCAGCCACAACATTCAGCACTGGATTTGATTTTCTGTTCTGTTTCGTATTCATTCCCGAGAGATGCATTGCTAATTGACTAGAGAGAGAAAATAATTACATTTTCCCTGCATGCTGCGATTCTAATCTTATTTTAATGACGGTTTAACATTGATAAAATGAAAATCCTCTTTGAATTCCAGCTTCTTCTGTCATTTTCGCAGTTCGTTCGACGCACACTCGATCTAACGATATCCGCTGAATTATGTTGGTTTGACACGTGATAATATCATACTTCCTGTTTTCCTTTCATTTCAATTGAGAGCAAAGTCAAGTTACGCTTGACTCCATGTCAACCTGTTCGATTCACGCGCGTCTATTTACCATATAAAATCGATGCATATTGAAATTGACATGCTCTGAAATTATCAACTTAGTTCGCAATTAGAATGGAGAGCATGAGTCAACAGGCGACATTTTAACGATGTAAACATTTCTGTGCACCTCTTCGTATATTACGATACGTTTGAAGACAGTCCATACAATCATTTCAATAAATCATCGGAACACTTCAATTAACTGAAGATTAATTGTAAACTCTGTGTGTGTGTACGCAATTGTGGTCGCAGTTTAGAATGTCAACAACTCAATGTGCGTACGTAACGCATAAACAAGTGCCAAGAATCCACTTTCAAACGGAAATGAATTGATTTGGCCTGTCTCAATGGTCATAATCATTGGTGTGACCAATGCATAAACAAACGGTCACATTACCACCACTCAATTGATTTAGAACTTAAAAATGGTCTAATATTACTTTGATTTTGTTTCCACACTGTAGCTTTTCTCACTTCTGAAACTTGCGGCGTCCCACGCAAAGCGTAAATAAATTTCATACTCCCATGGGCTTCGGTGACTTCGAATCAAATTGAATTTAAACCAAATGAACGGCATCGAAGTGCAGTGAAATATTCTATACCACATTCAATATAAATATACAACATATATGTGTGTGTATGATTGTGTGCGGTTGGTTGGCGTGAATGCACAGTCACACAGAATTCTATACGACGGTACGTCAAAACATGAGAAATATTCGATCGTTCATTGAACCGCCATACGCTTGCAATTTAAGTCAATTAATGCAAATTCTACTGTGTATTCTACTCGAAATCTTTACCTATTTCTCGTTGTTTGTCGTCTACACGAAATGCTGCTACTGAGTTTTGACTATTTGAATCGATTGATTTATGGCATTCGATACGAGTGAACTACACAAAACACTCCAACAACAACACTCACTGGCGTACGCGCGCGCTCACACACAACGTCGTCGCCCAGAAATCACTTCAAAACCATGTTAACAGCGAAAATAAACCGGACTCGATCAATAAACATTTCAAACGGACCGAGACAGAAAAAAAAATTGGCAAAAAAACGACGTGGAAAACGTATTGAACACGTCTTGGCAAATATTAGGCACCTTTGACTCAGATTAGTGGCAAAACACGACGAATAAAAAGAAAAACGATTGAATTTCATGAAAATCTCGCTTAATCCGAAGCCGGTGTGGAGCGCACGGCACACACAAATGCCAAACAGAAAAATTACACAGAACCAGCGGCTATAAACAATCAGCAGCCACTGTTTTTGACGAAATTTCATATGTCAAATCGAAGCGTGTGCATTTTTACAAACACCGTCGTCGGCATCGTCATTGTGGTCGTTGTCGTGCATACACGCCAAACAGCACCAGCCGCCGTTTGCGGTTCAAGCGCCCAAGGTATTGTATATACGTACGTAGAATCACAAATTAAAACACGATATATTCATATCGACGCTTCATTTGTTTTATCGCCAATATTACACACAAACATATTCGTGATTGCGCGAGACTACCCACAATACAAAAAACCATACTGTTTTTCTCTCGGTGTTTTTCCCTCCAAATCGCTTATTTCTCAGTTTTTGTATGTAAATAAAACGTTCCGCACACAGAACCACATAAAAGCATGCATACAATCATCACTGAGCGTCCCATGGACTCGATGTAATCACTTGATTGATAGCTCGTTTATAAACACGGAATATTTCTTTCTTCATTTTTTTTTTCGTAAAAAATAAAAATGAAGAAAAATGCTATTTTTTTTACAACTATAGACAAGCCATATTTTTCCTATTCGTAATTATGCAAGTAGGTTTGTTGGCGATCTTAAATAAACAAAAGATTCAAGTGAACCAAGAGTTTGGCCACATAAAACATTCAGACATTCTATGTAGGGTTTTGCATCATTCCCTCACGTTTTATGATCGTGTGCTCAGCAAGAGCACTTCAAAGAAAGAAAAGGGAAAAATAAACAACAACAACAAAAGACCTAATGAATTGTTTTCTACAGAGGCTGTACGTTGGACATCGACAGACTGAATGGATTTGATTTCGATGTCGAGATTTACAACGAAAAGCCACCGTGAAATTGCACTTTACATACATTTTCAATTATCTGTTAATTTGTACGTTATCTTAGCCATCGCACGTTTTCTATGCAAATATTTTCGGTTGATGCTTATGATGTGTTGAGTTGTTTGGTTCGGCTCGTTCATTTATGCTCATTCTTTTAGGAAATCACTTTATTAATTCAATTAGAAAAATGTTGTGTGGTTTTAAGTCATAACTGAATATCAAGCATGTAAATCATGTTCATTGATCAACTTCTGCGCATAAATCACTTTCCAACAGATGGTTTGAATAAAACCGTTCGTCGGAAGATGAATGATAGAAATTATGATGAATTTTTGCGTGAATGTTCTTCATTGATTTGGATATTTGGATAGGCTTTAAAACACTAGCAAATTGGTACCGCTCACATCCCATAATGGACCTTTAATTCCGCGTTCAATTCAAATCATTATCACGAAAATCATGTACATTGCCTTCCTCGTCAAATATTTTAACAAAGTTGCTCTTACACAAGTCTCGTTTTTCAATTAAAAAATTAAATTAACTACATTTTTCGTGTTGAGTTCCCATTCCGAAAATTGGAATGGCTACCATAGAACATGAGTAGAAAAGAAATTAAGCACCAGAAAATTTGTTTCAACTATCTTCTTCGTATATCATCATTTTAGTTCAACCGAAGCGCAAACGAAATAGAAAATGCTGAGTCAACCGAGTTAGGTCGAAAAAAGCGAAAGAAAATTAATTGGAGTGTAAACAGAGTGGTGAATCCGATCGAAACGTACGAGAGAAATTACCGTGTAGTTTATCATTTCGGAAGATGAATAAGCTAAGAACAACGAAATATAAACCAGACGAAGGTGTTCAAAATGATTACAGCCTCTTTGATAAGATAACGAAACGCTATTCGAATGTACGATTTCTGCGGAAATCGGCAAATCGAAAGGAAGTTCCAGCGAATACATTCTCTGGCAGCTATGATATGAATGGACGAAATTCAGAAGACCATAAACTCGAAATCGGTGCACCGATTCTGATTTCGAAAACAACAATCGATACGGATTCAATCATTGATACCAGTCTCTATCGACACAGTGACTGTAGCCAATTGCAACGTAATTCCGATCAATCAGACAGTTATCATGATGCAAACAGTTCGTTGGACACACAACAATCCAGTTTTCATTCGTCCACATCGAGCAACGATGAACGGAACGTCGATAGTGCATATGCCAAAATCATACAACTGCCAATCACCAGCGAAGTGAATAACAATGGGAATTTCATTGGAAATCGTTCAAAATCGGCGACCAATTTGCATAAAACCGAATTGAGTGTTTATTTACAGCGTTCGCCCAGTATGGAAATATCGAATCACTTCACTCAACCATTGACACCGAAGCACACATACAGTTCCTACAATGGATTTCGAACGGTGTCAAAGCACAGCATCGAGAGCGATAATAGTTTTCACAATAGTCGAAATAGTATCACCGTTAATGGATCGGTGATCGATGAGGAAGTGCTTGATTTTGACATGAAATCGGCTTCATTTCAAAGTCTCGATGCACGCAACATATTCTTATCGATCGAAGAATTGAATGAAATCACCCGGCAAATTAACGAATCCGATGAATTTCGGTCAATTGACAATGATCAATTGGAGTATCAAATCCATCGTGATAATTTGAAGCCATGCGAACGACGTGTCACATTGTTGCGGAATAAAAACCAGAAATTTTTAAATATCACACCAAAGCGGGACAAATTGACGAACGCATGGAGCGGATTTAAGAATTGGATTGGCGAAGAAAAAGGCAAGATTAAGGAAGTGGTCAATAAGCATGCGGCGATGCAACGGGTTGGCGCCAATGCGAAACCAACGACAAACGGTGAAACTGCGGTCGATGGTGTAACCATTGTAAATGGTACCGCATTGCAAATCACTCAAAATGTCACGGAGGCGAACAATCAACAGCAACAACAGAACGAGCCACACCAATATCAATCACAAGATTTTGGTGAACACACCATTCGGTTCAGCGGCGGTGGTGTTGACAATCAACAACGTCGTGTGGTTGGTTCGGATAGCAGTGATTTGAATTCGTTGAGCAGGAAATCTTTACATGAAATCGAGGTAATTGATGAACGAAAAATCATCTTCTAGCCGTTTTGTTTTTTTCTTTCAGTTTTGATCGACGAAGATCGACCAATGTTCATTGGACATTGTCCAATGCTTCATTGAATTCCAATACAAAAAAAAACCAACTAACGGACCATTGGCTATTCAGTGTTCTGTTTTTCAATACTTTGTTTCGAACAAATTCCCATTGGCGAAACAATCTTTAAGTTGATCATTATATTTTACACACAAAAAAACCACCGCTTTGAATTGCGATCAACTTGGTATTCTTATGACAACCTGTTGTTTCGTACGGTAAAAGCAAATAGTATGTGCGGTGCGGCTCAATGACTCTTTTGTGAAAATGTGTGAATTTAAACATTACGAACAATAAAAAGACGAGAAAATCATCGAAAAAGAAACACATCCAAGCCTGTGTGCATTTAAATTGACAAACATGAAGAAAAAAACGTGTAATTTGTTCTTGTTATCGAGTTTTTGTGATCATAGTGGATTTTTCTTTCCCATTTCGGGCTTATTTACTTTCTTGTTTCGAATTTCTCTCTCTCTCTCTCTCTTCACTTCGTTCAATTTGTATTCTAAAATGTTTTTTAATGAATCGACAAAAAAAAATCACTTTGAATGGCATCAGCCTCTTACATAATTACACTCATCTTTTTTCGTGTTTTACTTTGATAATTTCGTTCTTTGTGCGCTGTTGATAGAATCGTTTTTCTCCTCAAGCAATTTATCACTAACAAAAAAAAGCATCTCAACTCGTCTACTTTCGTTCCATTGAATTATGTGTACAACGTCAAATGAAATCCAATGCTCAAGCTCAAGTGGATCGTTATATTGAAAAATTAAGCTGATGATTTTCTAACTCATTTTCTTTCGTTTCTCTTTCTTTTTGAATAGGGTCAAAATGGTTTCGAAGAGCTACGCCGCTATGTTAAACAAGGCAGTGACTTTGGCAAAGATTTGGTTGCGGTTTTACAAGAACGGTAAGAAATGAAAATCCAATCGTTAACACACACAAAAACCAAATAGTAATAGAAATAAAATGAAGAAGAAAAAAAAGCACAGAAATCGAAAGAAATATAAAATGAGTGTATTGATTAACGTTATTATCTATCCATACACATACACACACACACACACACACACACACAACACAGAGTGGAATCAGAGCAACTGTATTCGAAATCACTGTCGAAAATGGCATCGAAACTGAACAAAGCATGTCGTGAAGTGCCTGGCACATTGGCAGAGGCATGGCGTAATGTGGCCGCTGAAATGGAAAGTCGAAGCGAAGTGCATCGTCAATTTTCCACCACGATGACTGAAGAAATCGTTAAACCATTGAAGCAATTACTGGACAATCAGCATAAAATGAGAAAATCGGTAATTTCCCCTGTTCATTTCTACTGTTTTCCTCTCTACGCATAGCACACAACATATTTTTTTCTTACTATTATCATTGATTTTACTGTACGTTTCCATTTGGTTTTTTTTGTTCTTCTAAATTTAAAATAATCTATTCGTCATTTTTGTATGGTAAAATAGATTGAAGGCAATGTGGATAAGTCATCGCGAATTTTAGCCGAATGGCGAACCAACGAGGCAAAAGCAAAGAAGTCATCGCATGCAGCGGCTCGTGAAAATGAAAAACTTCAAGATGCAATGCTCGATGTTCGAATTCAACGGTCACCATCGATAGCTCATCATAATTCGTCGGCAGTGTCAATTATAAACAATAATACAAACAGTCTGAACAGTAATAAAGATGGCAACACCGGCACTGGTCTGCTTGGTTTGCACAAGGCGGCCACCGTCGACAAGGAAATTAAAAATGCCGAAAAAGATTGCGCTAAACTGGATAATAAACGGCGCAAGGCTGAGGAATCGGTGAAGCGGGCCGATGTTGAATATTACACACTTTGCATTCGTGCCGAACGGGCTCGCATCGATTGGGAGATTTCCGTCCTTCGTGGATCGTCAGTTTTTCAAAGTCACGAACATCAACGATTACAAAGTTTAAAAACATACTTGACCACCTATCTAAAGCTATCGAATGATATGAATCCAAATTTTACGGCAATCGTTGAACGTGTTACGCCACAAGTGACGGCTTGCAATGTGCAAAAAGATTTGGCCGTTATCAAAAATATTCGTCGCGTTTCAGAAGGCCCAAGCGAACAATTGCTACCCGATTTCTATTGCGAGCACACAACACTCGCCATGAATCGTGATCGACGAAAGCATGTAAGTTTTTGAATTTGATCAAGATTCAAATGTAGCTAGAGATTGGATTTTGCTAAATATATTTTCTACCATATTTGTTTTTGATTCGGTTCGATTTGATAGGCACTGGTGAAATTATTGCAATTGGTACGAACGGATTTGGATCGCGAGCGAAAATCACGCATTGGCCTCAAGGGATTATCACAATCGCTCAATTCGCAGGAAAACCAAAATGTCACCGACAAACTCTATCATGTAAGTCATTATAAACGGTCTATTAAACGTCTAGAGAAAATATAATTCCGGCCTAAAATTAATGTTATTTCTCTTCAAAAAAAATTATTAGATTCGATCGATGTTGACCTACTTGGAGGGTGCTCGTTTCAAATTACAATCAGCATTGTTAGAATTGGATCATAAACCTCGCGGTTCACATCCGCTGGCGTCACATATTCAAATCACACGCGATCGAACTGGTTTGCAGCAAAGCATACTGAAAGTGCCGCTCTGGTTGAAGAACTCCGACGAAGAGAAACCAAACACGGAATCTGAAGCCATCAATGGCAATGAAGATGACGCAGCCGCAACGGTTGACGGAAAAAATGAGGTGCTGATTAAAAACTTTGATCGAAACTTTAGCCGAAGCAAATCGAGCGTTGAGTATCCCGTTGCAATAAGCGCCGGTACAGCAAGCACGATCATTGTTGATTCTCGCAATTTAGAGAGTATAGACTTTGATCGTGGCATTGCTGATGGCGGCTCCAATCAACATGACTCTGACTTTGGTGAGTATACGCTCGGTTTTGTACCACAAAGTCTTCCTACATTTCTGTTTTACTAAAGGGAAACAATTATCCAATTTAACAATTGCAGATGAATTCTCTTCTCAAGATGAAGACGATGAGATCAGCGGTCGAAATTCCGTGCAAGGAACGAATAGGCGATCCACACCAAATCCATCAACGCCGAAAGTCATAAGCCGTTGCCGAGCAATTTATGCCTACTCGCCAAAGTTGCCCGATGAATTGGAAATTAACCCAGGTAAATGAATCACACCTTTGATATAGGCTTCAGTTGTGTTGTTATTCGGACCTTTAACCGAAATTATTATTTTCCAATTAGGTGACCTGATCGATGTGCACATCAAACAGGAGGATGGCTGGTGGGTTGGTGCAATAAAAGAACGTGTCGGAACCTTTCCTGCCACTTATGTAGAGGAAATTGTTTAATAATGTCAATAATCGCAAATTGAGATATTTACTAACGCTTTCTGTTACACATTATTTTGATGATGCGTTTCTTTGATTTATCTTTTATAGTTTATATTAAAGTAAACACTATGTTTTTAGTCTTCCACAGCTGTTACGAATGACAATGCGATCATACGAGATCTTGTTTGTTTATGTAAATGTATTTAAATTCAAGATTTTTTTTTGACTAATATATAAACATTAAAATAATTTAGACGATATGAATCCAGTTTGATTAAACCAAAAAGCAACTAAATGATAATTACTCGTAATTTTCAACACAATATTTTTAACACAAACACATTTTAACGAATCTAACAAAAAAAAAACATATTTTTTATGTTAATCGTATAGTTGTATCGAAAAACGAAATGGAACCCCCTGAACAAAAACTAAAACTCTACAATAATCATTGCTATTTTTATGCGAAATGGTTTTAATGATCCTTAAAGTGATGCAAACGTAATTAAGATCCGATGTTAAATTTACCTTAATAAAATAAATTCCGACAAATCATATTTTCTTTTTCTCTGTTTTTTGTTCATCGTTGAGTAGATAAAATTGATATGGTACGAGTTGAAAAAAAAATTTATTTTCTATTTGTTCTTTGCTCTGACGATGAAATTATAGCGGAAAAACGCATATCTCCTGTCAGAGAATGGGAAAAAAATCAGTTTAAGCTCATTAATTGTAGATAATTCTTATCGCAATTTAATATTTGTCGAATTTCCAATGAAGTTCTTGTCATTATTGTCGATGAAAATAAATCGGCTAATGGTGTAACATTGTCTCATTCGGATATTCAACCGATATATAGTTTTTACGTTGGAAGTGTAGATATGATATATCGATGGATGTGTGCAACGTATAAAGCAAGGGTATGACGGAGACGTGCATTAAAAAACGCAAACATGGAACCATGAAAAGCCACATTTTAAGATTATTACAACTATTACGATGTCTATTATAGTTTATCAAAATGAACAATGTAAACACTAGTATACTAAGTTTACTAAGCACTATGTTCTGATTTTTACACAGCTATTACGACGATCTGTCTTACGAGATATTGTTCATTCATGTAAATGTATTTGGATAAAATGACTTTTGAATAATTTATGAATATAATTTAGACGAAACGAATTCCGTTTGGTTAAATCCGAATGAAAATAAACGATAATAACTCGTAATTTAATCCAACACAACATTTGTATAAATCTAGGAATCTGGACATGTTTTTATGTTTATCAATAGAATATCGAAGCAATCAAAAGTCGAAAACCGAACTCTGCACCAATTATTGTGTTTGAAATGGTTTTCATTATCCTTAAAATGGTGTAATGCTATCATCTACATGATCTTAGCCATACCTGCGGACACTTCTATCATGGAATTCCAGTCAGTTTCTCCTGAACTACCACAAAATGGCACATTTCATTCAGTTGGCTCCAAATATTGAGAATTTTTACAATTTAGCCATATTCGTTTGCCACTTATTCATCGATGGCAATTTTCGAACTGGCCACATTCTGTACGATCCAAATATTTTTGATAATCGTTTGGTTTCAGAAATCAATTCAGTTTGTCCACGTTCCATTCCATGGCTGACCACTGACATCACCGAAGCCTCGTTATCATTTTGGGAACCACAAGAACAAACCGATCATATTCTGCAGCTAATCTTCTTCAATCTGGACCACTTCGAAAAGGAAGTCGATGAGTACAAATATTTTCTCACATTTTACCGTGTATTTATTTTTCCGTCAAGCGATCAAGCCAAAATTAAAAGCCTCATAGTTGAAATGCGCAAATCAGAATTGACTTTCAGCTCCAGTTCACTGATTGTGCATCAAATTTCGGAAGATAATGTTATGTGCATTCATTGGACTCCTCCATACAACGGACAACACACGGAAACGTGTGATAATGTCAGAAAAGACCGATTGGGACCATTTTATTTACAGAATCGAGATAATTTATCCGGTGTAAATGTATTTGATCTCACTTTTGGAAAGTATGATCAAATGTGGTTGATGCTGGTTGATTTTGTTGTTGAAACCTTTTGTGGTAATAAACCGCGTAAAATTGTGAGAGGATCCAAACCAGCTGTCAATTATTTTGTCTTGAAGTTGAAACAAACATTTGTCGATCTCACAACAATTAATTGCAGCGAAATTACACATAAAATCGTTCACCCGAAATCCAGACGGTTTTACAAAGAATTCGTAAACGAGTTTATGCCCCTCAATAAGAAGGAAACGTAAGATAGACTCGTTGCATTTAGATTAGAATTGTTCATCAAGTCACAAGTTTTACGTAATCAATTTTAGGGAAATTCTCAAAACACAACGATCAAACACCTTGAATATTGAATTATTTCCAACTTCCTTATCGAAAAGGGATAAAAATGCTCAGAAAATATCGCTATATCCATACCGTTTCATCGAATTGAAGGTCCTTTATGTTTATGCCAAAGGTGAAAAACTTCAAAGACGCACGGGGTTCGTTGATTGCTTTGGATCGATTAGATACTGGGTATATTTGACATGGATATTCTCAGCCGCAGTACTCTTTGCCATTCGTCGACAAGCGAAGCTCAGGCGTGGCGGTTTCATTTCTTCAGCCTTAGATACATTCACTGCATTCTTCGGAGGTGGACGTCTTCGCATACACCATCGTTTGGAACGACTATTTTTCGGTGTTTTATTGATTGGATCTTTTTTCTTGACCTCGATCTGGAGCGATGCATCTTTATTTCAATGTAACTTCAGTTCCTACCAAAAAATCGATTCATTTGAAAAATTGTCAGCATTAAATCCAAATGTTTACATTGGCACTTCCATCGAATTGCACGCCAAACGAATTGGACAAATGCTCAAGTTAGTAACAGAAAAAAAAATGCAAAAAAACAATTGTTTAAATTCATGTTGCGTATTTCTAGGGAGAAAATGGGTAAAACGGTCAAATATTCTTTGGGCATTGGTTTTTCCAAATTGCTCGGCCATCGTGATTCATTTGCTTATGTTGTGGAATCATTGGCGGTCGATAACATAAAATACACCTTCAACGGATTGAGAATCATTGATGTGTTACCAGAAAAACTTGGTAAAACGGACAAACAAATAATAGTCTGTATTATTGAGTTAGTTACACATATTTTACTTGCCATATTTAGGAATCATAAACACGGCATTGTCTTTGAAAAGTGAACAATATATCTCCAAACGCAAGATGGCTGAAGTAAACAATGCGACGAGATTAATGTTTGAGAGTGGATTGGCTGAATTTTACATGTCCCAATATCAATACATACTGAAATTGGAAACGAGAAAAATGGCCAACAAGAGAGATATTGAAAAGAAAAACGATGATATTCAGTCTTTGACTATGGAACAAATGATAACTCCATCACTCATAGTTCTCATTGGTTTAATAATTGCGTGTTTCACTTGTGCCATGGAGATTATAATCTATAGACTCACGAAACGTCATAATAATCGTGTTAGAAACCTTCGAAATTAAACTCTACATTATTGTAAATGTTTGCACAACAAATCAAAATACGTGTAATCGTTGTTTGGAACGCAATACATCATAATTACTATCAAATGTAAAAGTTTCATCGTGTTTCGGAATCAAATTAAATCGTTGTAATGCTCGGTGACTTCTTTATTATTCGTGACATTTAATAGGTTTTGATTAAACTACTTGGAAATATGGTACTGTCAAAATATTTCGTTTGTGTATGTGCATTGACGTATTTATGAAAACCTTTGAAACGAGCTACAGAAAAATACAAGTTTTTGATGTTAGAATTTTGAAATTAAAAACAAATATTTACAGCTGTTTTCAATCGAAAACACACCACTACATCTCAGCGCATTATTTTTTATGTTGAACACAAACAAAAAAAAAGTCTAAATCGAGTACTCATTGTTTCCACCAGTTTCAAATGTCAGACAGTTTAAACTTGGCGCGCAGCCATATGACAGCCAGATATTAAGTCGAAATGTCATTCGAGTTTGACACGGGCGAATTTTTCATTTTCGTTTTGCATACAGTTCGCTAAATTTCGAATCTCAGTCGATGCGTACAAATAGACAACTGAATGCTACTATAGATGGGTGGTCGGATTGCTTCACAGATAAAATGGTATGGTGTACCAAAAATCACCTCGGAAAGAAATTGTTGCCACTGCTTTGCACAATTTACTTTGGAACGTCTGGAATGACGTAGTCGTCAACTATTGAGACGACGGATTTAATGCTGGCGTGATGGCCGTTAAAAAATTCAGAGCATTAAACAAATCATAGTTCGCCTAAATACTAGGACCTACGAAGAACTATGAGGGAAAACTCAACTGAAATTGGAAGACATCGGCGCTTCGATTGATATTTCAGAGTTTTCATTTCTGTCTGAAGCAAGTAATGATCACTTTTTTGCATTTTTTTGTTTGTTCACTGTTTTTCAAGTTTTTTTATTCATTCTTTATTCTCATTTCCATCTTCGTCCGATTCTTTTTTTTTATTCATTAAAATATGCATTTTTACGGCGATATTTCACACCAGACACTGAAGGCCGATTTCAATTTTAGAATATTTCCGCTCAAAAAATTTAACCTTCGATTTTTAAAATACATGCATTGCATGTTGCATCATTCAATGTTTGATTGCATGAAATGAACGTGTGTTTTGATTTCGTTTTTTTCTGAACTAATAGAGAGCCAAGCGTTGAAAATCATCAACAGTCAAATCAATTAAAGAGTCAATTTCTGACTCTACTATTAAAGTGCAGTAAAACAACAAACTACGTCATAGCAATAAAAAAAAATTGAATACGGTTTGCTTTGAACGTTACAGTATTCAATCGATGTTAAATGTTTATATTCGAAAATTATGCACTGCAAATAGCTTTGTATTGTAAATAAATAATCATCCACAGCCGATGAGTTGATTCAAGTATGAATATTAGATTGAAACCGCTGGAAAGAACAACACGAAAAAGAGCATTAAAAAATTGACACAAATTCATTGTGTATTTTGTGTTTTGTCTTCGTTTTCTAAGAAAGTACTTTCGATTCATTGTCACTTCAACCGCAATTTTTGACACATTCGTTGAGATTGAAGATTTAAATGACTCACACTTCCATCAAAAACTCAAACATTCTCGTTGCAGCAATAACTTGAAAAAAGTATATCTATTTAGAAATATGAAAAGTTTCTGCCTTTCAATTAGGTTCAATACTCAGAGTTGTTAATTGAGATTTCATTCCGTTGGCAATAAGAAAAACCCATTTATAGTTGCGCAATGCAAGCAAAGTTCATAATTTTTTTTCTCAACTGAAACAGAAACACATAATCAAATGATGTATTTCATTTGAAACGGTGGCATAATAGCATCTGGCACAAATACATTCATGCGATATTCGATGTGTGTTTTGTCTAAGACAAGATGAACGAAAACAACACAAACGTTTACAACAACCGCAGCAGTAGCAGCAACAATTGCAGTAGTGTTGATCTTTTGGCCGTTGCTTCAGCTTTGCATACTGTTTTGCGTCTCCGTATTGTTTACGATTGGCTGCATTGAACGGCTAGCAGTGTATGTATGCGTGTACCACTCGAGTCGGCATTCAATAACACAAACCATGCACAAGTAGCAGAAGAAATAAAAAGTGAAAGCAATTTCAAGCCATTCGCATACACTTGTGCATGGGAATTCATTCCATTCCGTTTCGGGAGAGCAACTAAACTAGTCGCAACCGTTTACAAAGATTCGGAGTACACAGTAACTTTGCTGTGTTCGTGCAGTCAAAACATTATAAAATTGAGAGCATAGTAATATAAATATCGATTACTAGCGCCGACAAACGATATGCAGTGACATTGCTAAGCATCAAAAATTAATAGACGCGATACTCGGTGTACAAAAAAATTCTATCCGATGCGAGTACCGTTGGCTGTTCATTTTCTCCGCCAATGAGTCGTGTTTCCAAGTGCGATTTATATTCACACAAAATTTTTCCTTTTAAACGTTTTATGTTTACATTTTTGTGATATCTTAATCGGTTGAGTTCTCAAATAAAAAGAAAAAAAAAACAAATCACACGTTATCATCTCTCATTATACACTCATTAAATCACTATTTAGTTAGCCAATTGCGTCGAAATTTTCCGTATTTGACTAAACGCATTGGGAACTAGAAGAATCGTCTATTATCGCGTGTGTCACCGATTGAGTGTGTTGTGTATAATTTTTCTTGTGGTTGTTGCTAACAAATAGTTCAATCAATTGAAAAGTTTTAATTTTTTTAATAATAATCAAAAAATGGATCAAGCATCGAATGAAATCCGTTCAACATTGTTCACATCAATTAAGTCACCGATTGAAACATTAAATCTCACCAAATCATTCAATGTACCCGTTACCACCGATAAAATCTCAACATACGAGCAAGTCGCTGCGACGGATATACATACCGTACATGATATCGACAGTCTTCTGGGATACGGAGATTGTGAGTATTTATAAAAAATGAAATGATTCAGAATTTTCCTCGGTACGTAAATCCGATTTGGAGAAACTGATGATAAATTTCAGTGCAAAAAAAAAATTCAAGATAAATGTCAACGCAATTTTCGTCATAAGTTTTTTCACGTTTACTTTTTTGTTTGTTTCATTTCGTTCAAGTATCGGATGCAGTTACACAAACAATGCTATGTGCAATAGCAGTGGGGTCGATGCTTTTGATTGTTATTTGGTACTTATTTATTCGCCAAATACCGTTCATTCTGCGGCACACGCCAACCAAATACTTGGCAAGAACGTTGATATTGTGTGGCATTTACTCAATTGTCGGTTCGGCCGCTTTGGTGTCATTAATTGCGTATCGAGCGTTCGTGTTTTGTGATTCGGTGTGCCATTTCGCCTTCTTATTGTGTGCCTATCAATATTTTGCGCTGGTCATCGAGTATGCTGGCGGTGAATCGAATTTCATCAAAAACACAAACGGCATATTATGTTTCAACATACGAACGCCACCGTTTTGCTGCTGTCTACGCTTTCTGTTACCATCCCCTATTACGAAGTTTGTATTCCACCTTATACACTCTATGTGACATGTTATGATTGTTATCGGCATTTTATGATTGACATTATCCTACTTCATTTGCATTTATCATTATAGGGATAAGTTCAAGTTTTTACGGCTAATGGTACTGCAAATGCCCATTGTACAGGGACTTCTACTAGCACTATTAAACGTACTCAACTCAATTGACACAGTAAGTTACTCATTTAAAACCGTTTAGCTAATTAATTTATTCAAATTGGTTCTAACGAATAACCGAATGCGATTGATTCCTCCAAATTGGTTTAATGAAATGAAAATGTCCATTCATTTTAGACGTTATACGAGCAAGTACAGCCGTTTATTACGATATTCATTGTTGCATCAATTCTGAGTGGTGTGTGGTCACTTCAAATAAATTCACGCATGATTGCCGCTCATTTGCCGGAGCACAAAATTATGCACAAATACTTTGCTATTCAACTAGTGTTGATTTTATATAAACTGCAACCGCTACTGATACACACATTCTGTTACGGCGTCGAAATGTTGGCTGGTTATCGCATCAACACCAAAGTGATTGAAAATGGTAAGATAATAAGCATCACTCAATTACAAATTAACGTGCTATATTCATAACTTACGAAATTTTTTTCTTTTCGTTTCGTTTCTTCTATTCATTTCCAACAGCCGTGATTCAACTGATTATTCTACTGGAAACTACGATCTTATCTTATTTTGCTAATCAGGTGTACAGTGTGCCGACCAAAGCAATAGAACCAAATTAACCAAATCACTTACATAGTGCCTAATGTGTGTTAAGCGTGGGAACAAGATACATATTTATTGTAAATTTTTCTTAGGGCCATTCAAAATTGTTTCCACATTTTACTTAAATTTTCATTATAATAATTGAGATTATTTCTTATTTGTACTTCAGACAATTACAAATGAATACGTACAAAATGCTATACCGAAGAGAAAAAAAATTTGTTTCCATTTTCAAATAGTTTGCCGATTTTTAGGTTGGTGTGATGGTCGATGAACAGTTGGCACCACTGAGTCAGCTGTTGACGATGACAGTGTGTGCACGCGTGTGTGAGTGTGGAAATGAGCGAAAGGGAGAAATGTATTGTTGGCCGTCGCGTTGTTTGACATATTGAACAAAACTGTCAGTTCAATCAGAACACACAAAAACTACAGCATAAAACATGGGAATGATAGACATTAGGATCGCACGACACTGATTCCAAACGGAGTGCAATCAGTTCTCATTTTTTCATCTGTTCAGTGTGTAGTTGATGATGAATTGGTGTTGAAATGTGTGTGTCTGGTTGTCTTGGTTGCTTTTGTTATTTAATTCGACGTCAATTTTTCAATTCAACGCCATCAACCGAATCAGTTCGTGTTTAAGTGTTGGCGGCGGTGTGGAAAGGTTGAATATATATAAAATCCAGAGTGAAGAAGTAACCTTGCAGACTCAGGATTCAACAAAAAGATCTGTTTTATTATTTATTCTGTCTAAAAAATGCTCATCCACGCAAACAAAGTGGGAGTAGTTTGTGTATAATTGCCAAAAAAAAAAAAATTGTGTCGCACATTCATTCGTCCAGATCACACCACCACCGATCTCGTTCACATGCAATGCATTGCAAATCAATTCACATCAATCAACAAAGCCAATACGACGAACAAAAAAAAATTCCATTGGAGATAAATGGTGTCTAAGGTGGCTTGCATTTATTTAAACAAATGTGTTTCGACAGCGAAGCAATCGAAACAAATGAATTACGGATACACGATTCCATTATATCAGCAGAAATAGAATTGCATACCACTCTTATCTGAAAGTTTTGAATGAAAAAAAAAATAGTTCGAACTAAGCAACCGAAATAAATATGTGAATAAAATAACGGCGGCAGTTTTGTGGCAGCTAACAACTAGTGTAGAATTATAATTAGAGCTCTCTGTTGATTAAATTTCTTTTTTTTTATACACAATTTACTTCATTCGTGTAACGTTCTTCCGATAGAATACACGTATATTTTTTTCTCTGTTTCGTTCGGTTCACACATTTTAGTTCGGATTTTATTTTATTCTAAAGCAGAAAAATTTCATTTTTTTTTCGCTCATTGAATCGAAATCGTGCTCAACATTGAATTGAATATAATAAAATTACTACAATTACATGACAACAAACAAAAAGAGCAGTTACGACATCATCACCACCATCATCACCACAGCAAGCATTCGAAGCAGCGTCCCAGCCTATTATTTGTATTTGAGATATTGTAGCTAATGTTAAATTAGCCGTAAATATGTCGGTGCTGCGTCAAGTGTTAGGTTTAAGCGCCTGGATTCGCGCTCTAGTGATTTTCGTTCTGTTATGGGGCCTGTTGGTGTTGATATTTGCATCGAAATTGAGCGGACCAAATAGTTCAGCGCTTTCTAATGAGGATTACACGAATTATCGACTAAATCAAGCAATAGAATTCTTAGAGGAGTCTAAGCGACGAAACGCTGACCTCAAGCAACTCATCGACGAATATTTGAGGTAATTAACATATGATATTAATGACTGGGCAATATTTCATGGTCTCAACTTTCTTGAATGAATGCGGTTGCATGCAATTTTCGTTGTTATTAACAGTGGACACGTGATATTTTATTTAATAAACTATATTTATCTTGGTAATGCAATATGAATCAAGTGCAAATCAAATCAATTGACTATAAACTAATCAGAATCGTGTTCAACTAATCTAATAACGATCAATAGTTATATTCAGAGAGGTTTTGTCGTTTAATTATTTTGTGTAAATTATTTTCGTGACACTCAAAAATATAACGGAACGCTATGTATACTTTCGGTGTTCATTATACTAATGGCAGCAGCCTTTCAACTATATATGTATACATACACAACTTTTACCGGGAATGTCGCATTTTTGTTCATAATTTCACTTCAAATCAAGTCGTACGAAGAAAAAATCATGCGTAGATTTTTTTTGGAAATTCCGAGATTGATAAGAAAACGTTGAAATAAGAATTGAGTAACAGAACATTTCACACTCTCTTTGTTCCATTGTGATAACGTTCAACGTGACTAACAATATTCCTCTAAAAAGAGTTGACGAATTTTTTTTTCAAAATACTTGTATGATTCGTTATTTATATGCCAAAAAAGCACAACATAATTGCTGTTTTCACACAATGTATTGAAAATCGCAAAGAGTTTTAATTTTAAGCTTAGATGATCTCTCTCATGATATATGAACGATGCAATCAAATTTATTTACATTCCAAATGCATTCAGTAGATAATAATGAAATGTTTTAACACGTGTTACATTGGCTTTTCTGTTTACAGCGATAAATCATTGCCTGAAGATCAACGAGAACGGATTATAGCTGAAATTGAAACGAAATTAAATCAAAGGCCATCCAAACCGCTGGGCAGCGCTCAGCGACGGTTCAATGGCATGGTTAATGAAATCATTATATCAAATGGCATGACACCAACGGCTGAGTACGAGCAGCTTCGTCGCAGAGTGCGCTCAAATTTACTGGAGATGTACAATTACGTTGGAAGTGAGCTAAAAAAAATATGGAAAAATAACCCGATAGTACCTGAACTTGGCGATTATGTGAATAAAGTAATGCAAATGACAACGGAGCATAAGCGCTCACTCGTCAACGATATGGATCATCTACAGAAAATTGACGGCTACGAACAATGGCGGCGAACGGAAGCCGAAAGTCTTAGTGATTTAGTGCAGCGCCGTCTCAAATATCTTCAAAATCCAAAAGATTGCAGTACGGCAAGAAAACTCATTTGCCGATTGAATAAGGTGGGTTGCGGACTTGTCGGTTTATTTGAACATTTATAAAATTCTTCTCTTTTGTATCTTGTGTTTATTCAACATTGTTTTTCTTGTAACAGGGCTGCGGTTATGGATGTCAATTACATCATGTCGTCTACTGTTTTATTATGGCTTACGCTACGGAGCGTACATTGATTTTAAAATCGAAGGGCTGGCGCTATCACAAAAATGGTTGGGAAGAAGTGTTTCAACCTTTGTCGGACACCTGTACCACATCTGAAGGAACATCACATGCCAATTGGGGCAATGGACACTATAACACACAAGTTGTAGACTTACCTATAATTGATTCGTTAAATCCACGACCGCCTCAACTTCCGTTGGCCATCCCGGAAGATTTGGCTCCAAGACTGAAGCGGTTACACGGTGATCCTATCACCTGGTGGGTTGGACAATTCCTGAAATATTTGCTACGCTTTCAACCTGAAACGCAGGAAATCATCGAGGCTGGCATTCAAAAGCTTGGTTTCCAGAACCCTATCGTTGGTGTGCATATTCGTCGAACCGATAAAGTTGGCACCGAAGCAGCGTTGCACAAAGTTGAAGAGTACATGCGACACGTTGACGAATACTACGACCAATTGGAAATGATTGAATCAGTTGAAAAACGAAGAGTGTTCCTCGCTTCTGATGATCCAAAGGTGTGACATTTGCTCATTCAATTGATTTCGAAATCATTTTCTTCTACGTTTGAATGATACATTTTGTGACTTTTCTACACTTGCAGGTGATTGACGAGACGCGCACAAAATATCCTCATTACGAAATCATTGGTGACCCAAATGCGGCTCGCATGGCAGCGCTATCGACGCGTTACACTGACTCGTCATTATATGGAATCATACTCGATATTCATTTGCTATCCATGTCCGATTATCTAGTGTGCACGTTTAGCTCTCAAGTGTGTCGCGTTGCATATGAAATAATGCAAACCATGTATCCGGATGCTTCGAATCGATTCAAATCGCTCGACGATATTTATTACTATGGTGGTCAAAATGCGCACAATCGCGAAGCGGTGCTGCCACACCATCCAAAGAATCATGACGAAATCTATGTAAATGTTGGCGATTTGATTGGCGTGGCGGGCAATCATTGGGACGGTTATTCAAAAGGTCGAAATACACGAACAAATCAAATCGGTCTGTTTCCTTCATTCAAAGTTGTAGACAAGGTCGAGACAGCCGAATTTCCTAAATACTCAAATGTTAAGTAATGAACAAAACAAACAAAACGAACAAAACGAACAAAACGAACAAAACGAACAAAAACAAAAAAAGAAACGAAATTTCCTCCGATATTACACCAGCTTTGATGGAAAAAAAGAAAGAAAAAAAAACAAAGTCGCTCCAAAAGATATGAAATCAAGTAGTTACATACATATAAAGTAAGATGACAGGCAAAAGTCTTATGATCAAATGCGCGTGTGCACCACACTGATATACAGAGAAGGAAAAAAATTCTCGTGTGATCAAAATCAGTGTAATAAATCGAAATTTGATGAATTTATGGTCTCGTTCTGAAGACAGCTAAAAATATTTTTTTTCTTTTTTTTTCATTCGATTTGTGTTGATCACATGAGCATATTTTTCGTTTTGCTGGAAGCATTTTCGCCGATTCTGTTGTTTCATTCATTTTTCATTGGAAAATTGAATAATTGATTTGATTTCATTCAATGTTGGCTTCTGTAAGTTGGCTACACACGGAGAACAAATGGTATTTTAGATCTTGAGCAATTTTATTAAATACCTTTACTATTTCGTAGCTATTTCATTTAATACGGAATTTTTATTTTTAGTTTTCGCGCATGAATTGTGATAATCTTTAGATTTTTGTTTTTTTTATTGTACACATGAGCAGAACAAAGTTGTTGTTTGTAAATTTTGAAGAATCTCACTTGAAATGAACAAAAAAAATGGAAGAAAGAAAAACAGACATCTATTATTATATTGCACTTGAACACAACAGCACACAGAGGAGAAACCTTTTTTTCTAGCGAAAACGATCGAAATAGATTATTATTTTTAATGAAATAAAATCTAAAATGGAAATGATTGAAAAATGTTTGAGTTTTTTCTTTGTTGTTGAATTTGATTTATTTTCAGTTTTCACAGGGAAAAAATAATAATGTCTATCTTAATATTATGTATTTAAAAATGGTGGAAATCTCTAGGGATCTCGTAAAACGATAAGAATTTATGTTCAACATGACGATAGAAATATATTTAACTGATTTGAAAATCAAAAGTCTTATGATCAAATTTTGAATATTCTAATTTCGTATTAACACCAGGAATATTTCAGAATATTTACTTGGTCGATAGACGTTTACTCTAGCGGCTTCTTTGTCATCAACAAACCACGATCCCATAAGTCCAACACCACCGTCTCTGCTTCCTCAATATTATCCGACAAACTGTGAATCGGTGTGTATTTCGGATATTCTTGGATCAACTTCTTGATACACATGACGGTCGCTTCTTCGACTTCGATGTAGTTCAGATCGCTTCCGTGATATTCCTTTCAATTGCAATTTTTTTTAAATTAATCTTGATAATTCGAACAAAAGCGCTTTTTAATCACAAACCTTTGAATTGTCAGCGTAGTAGTATAAGTGATAGGCATTATCGACTTTCACCAATCGAACAATGTGTGCGCGTAGCAATCGAACTTCGGTGCCTTCGTCCATCGAGGGCATTTCAATTTTACCATTGTTATGCAACAACGGCGCCGTTCCGAATGTCGTGCGTACTTTTTCTGCGGTGTTCAATACCTGAATTCAATTGGAAAACAAAAGATTGTTAAAAGTGTTCCCTTTACTTGCAATAAATCAAAATAGCTATAAATACCGGTGGAAGAGCATCGTGTTGGAATTTGACGGCCATTTTGTCTACGGCGGCATCAAAATCCAAATGATTCACCAACCGATTAAACATGTGAGTCAGAACGTTTTTCATGGCTTCACGGCGTTCGCTCGAGTCACATCCCGAATAAGTTTCACCAAACTCATTCCAAATATCAACTGGTACACCACGACGAAAGGCGATATCTGTATCGATGGCATTTTTCAGCGCTTGCTTCGTCAATTCATCAAACAGTTCGGCATACGAATTCTTCTGGTAAACACTCAATGTGATGTGCAGTGAATGGCAATTGGGTACCGTTTTTGCTTGATGAATCCAGCCGCGTGGGAAGTAGAGCATGTCACCTGGTGTTAAAATGATCGGCTGACAAGCTGGTTCACCAATTTCGTTTTGTTCAAAATTGCCAGACGATTCCCGTGGCAATTTCTCGTTTTCACTGCGTGGCGGATACAGTGTCCACTCCTTCTTCCCTTCGATTTGCAACACAAATGCTTCGATATCATCATAGTGTGGTGCAAATCCTTGGCTGTTCGGCGGCGTCAGATACACATTTGCACCGACGAGGCAGTGAAAATATTCCTGCAATGTCGCGCAGTAATTGTGCAATGGGCCTATGAACGTTTGTGGATTGATCAAACCTGTTGAATATCCAAAATTATGACTTTTGAATGAAGCAAAACCTCTCAATTAAAATGTGAATTTACTTACGAACACTGCAACCATTTTGATAGAATTCCCACACGGCACCGGGCAAGGCACGTCCATCGGGGTTGTGAGTTTCACGGATACCATTTTCATATGACGTGATGTCAAGATTTTTTGTGAACTCAACTATGTTGTTGCGGAGCATTTCATCGATTGTTCTTGTTGACACCTTCAAATTGTCATAGTGTTCATTGTTTCTGCGTGTAATGTGCAGTGGCCGCTTTTCCCAATGTTCCTTCATGAACTTTTTGATATCCATATTATCCGGAGCATGTAGAATATGAGCAAACGCATCTTGTCCTTTTGCAACGCTCGACAAATTCACATTGCTGTTCGATAGTGATGGTGATGCAAAGGCTGACCCGTTTTGCTGCATGGTCACACCGATCGGTTGACTTTGTGTCGTCTTTTTTTTCTTAGCTGCGATGGACGATGCCGCCTATGATCAAACCAATATAAACATTTGTTTCTACATTTCGAAACGCATGGCTGTCGACTACTTACGGTTCCTTTCACAGCGGCCACACTTGATGTTACTGCCGATGTTTTTGATGCTTTCGATGCTGTTGCTTGCGGTTGTGGTTGTGCGTGTGCTTGTACACCAGAGTTTTCCGTTAGCTTACGCTAAAAATTGTTTAAAATATTTTTATTTCAAAATGTGTTGAAAAAAAAAACGGAATAAATCTACAAATTAAATGTTAATTCATGACGTTCAAGACATTGTACAATGGAACCGACGCAATTATGTTGCTATTTCATTCCAAGAACTGTTGCTTACTGTGTCTGCTTCTCTCTCTTACTTTATAAGTGCTAGTAAGTGAATGCTATGCAGCACAACGGTATAAACAAACAACACGAGTCTGGCTTTCAAACACAGGCATAAACACGAAAAAACACGAGTCCAGAGTTTGTGTATGACTTTGGCGTACAAACGATTGTCATTAAATGTACCGTCTTTTTTTTAAATTTAATTTCGTCTTTTCTATACATTTTCAATACAAAATATTCCTTACCTTCTTCTGTGGTTCTACAGTTGGTTGCTGAACGTAGCCTTTTTTCTGCTTATTTGCTTTGGGCGATTTATTCGTTGCAACTTTTTTCGCTGCACCACCGTTTTGATTCTGATACGCGGCAAATGCCGAAACTTCTTCCATTTTATCCTCACACTTTGTTTATAAATGACGAACAAAAATCGAAATAATTCCGAGCAACAAATCGGACAGCGCTTATTATTCACGTGTTCGTCGTACACCAACTTCAAAACATTCGCCGAATGTGTGCTACAATAATAAAACGCATTTCTGTCAACTGACTTTTTTTATCACCAGATGGCAGTACTACACAGATGTATGATTTCAAATGGAAGATTATTCTTTTTTTTAAAGAAGTTGCTATTTTATTATCCCAAGCGAAAATGTATGAAGGTGAGTTCTTCAAAAAAAAATTCTCCTTCGAAAGAAAATCCACTCTACAACGAAAAACGACATCAAAATATTTTACTGTCCCAAACTGTTTACGACGTGAATGCATTGCATCTGACATTCGCCTTTGACAGATAGAATTTCTTTACTCAGCACTCACTGTCAAGTCAAATATAGGTTATTTTGGAAGCACAACAGAATTTGTAGAATAAAAAACTAGATTTTTTTTTAGAGAAAATTTTGATGATTCAGCGAGAACAAGATGTTTCTGACCAACGTTTTAATGAGGAAGGCGAAAGCCAAGTAAGTGAATGAAGTGTGGATTTTTAGATTGACGAAATTTCATCATCATCTGTGGGTCCCGTGTGTTAAATCACTGTGTTTGAGTTGAACATTGATTTCTATGATTTTATTTTGCACATTTTGTTAATTTCACCCATTCATTCCCATCGATCAACAGGAGCATTCTAGTTTTGATGGAGAGTGCGGTCAGCGGCCATCAATTCTTGCAAATCCGGGAAAGATTAGCCGATAAACTGGAGACAATTCGATTCGATCCATACAGTGAGTATAAAACATAAATAAAACAGCACAACAACGTCACCGCCTATTGTAAAAATAATAATTTCAATCAAACGTTTTCTTGTTTTTCCAGTTCAAAAGCCAAGTGTTTACCGTGAGCGCAGAAAAGTCAAAAGTATCCGTTAAATTCCAATGGAATCGATTAGCATTTATTACCTCACAAATGTAGTTAAAGTCCAGTTAATGAAATAAATCAAGAAAAACAGACGTTGATGTTTTTTTTCTAGTTTCAATGAAGGAAACTACGATTACTATAATGATTGAAGGCTGCAGGTGCAAATCGGACTAAGATTGCTCTGTTATTTGGTGATCTGAACAAATTCTTGATTTAATGATACCAGCAATGATCACGCGATTCCGTACTGCTATTCTATTTCGAAAATCATGCTTTGGTGCACCTTGCATCATAGAATAACATTCACTCGAAACATCTCAAAATTGATTCAATTTCAAGTTTAACAAAATGGAATAACTTACAAACCTGTCCATAAATTATCAACCAAGCATCAGAAACAATTAAGATGCCAAGTGTTGACGTAATCAATCTGGTCATTTATGAAAGAGAATCAGAAGTGTAAATAAACCCCCATTCGGTAATTGTGATTGAATGCAAACTTTATTTCGTTTAAATTTCAAACAATATCATTTTTGGCTGCTTAAATCATTTGAATTATCAACATTCATACGTGTCATAAATGGCTTACTAAATCTCGACTAGTTTGAATCCTGTTATTGGTTTAGGTTTTCCTTTCAAATAATTGTAATGGTAATGAGATTCTATAGCGATACATATCAACTATATAATATAGAATCGAATAAATCTGAATAAATATAATATTTCTCTTTTTTTGTAATAGTTTCGTTGGAGTTTTGTTCAACAAGACGGTACCATTGGTCTGAATTATTCTTAATAGTATTATTATTATTTTGCAAAGAAATGGAAAGTTATTCTTCAAAAGGCTTAATTTGAATTGAATTGAAAAATTTCAAATAAAAAGACCAACAATAAGTTTGAATTAAGAAAAATCCTTTAATATTTCTAAGACGCAAACCATGTTCGGAATGGATAAGGACGAATGAATGTTTTTTTTGGTTGCAGCAATTTTCCCGTTGTGTTCTCCAGTGAATGTCATTCAGTGCCATCTGGGTGTGATTTTGTTAAATGAAAGAAGAAAAATTCTTCGTAGTCGATTCAAATCCTGAATAAGTGCATAATTTGGCTTCGCTGCACGGAAAATGTGGTTGTTGTCACGAATCCACGCTACGAAAATATCCTTTTTTTCCATATTTACGGATATCTCGTACGGGTGGGTTCGTATGGCAAAATTGGATGGGACTACTTAAATGGTAAATGGTTCTTAATTTTTAAAGATCGAATTTTCAAATATATCTGGCTATAGTTGCACAAAATGGGCTATGTTAATAATATACAACATCTCTGATGTTAATAACGCCCTGTTTAGCGCACCCAATCGAAAAGAAAAAATCCAGGCGACCAACAAATGTTTTTTTTGTTTCGAAAAAAATAAATAAACAGTATTGTTTTAGAATCTTCCGATTTTTCTTGGTACGCGAAACAGGGCGTTATTAACATCGGAGATGTTAATAATATATTATTAACTGTGCAACTATATATCTGGCTACAAAAATTACGTTAGTGTTTTTCTCTGGGTTTCTCCCACATCTCACGAATAAAAAATGGAACGGAAGAGAAAAACCAACTGAAAATCGAAAATAACATCGAAATTGATTGGATCAGCGTGGATTGCTGTGAGGCACAAATCGAATCGAGTTTCGGGTGAGAAATTGAAAGCTGACTTAAGTGATACATAGCGAGTGATTTTTACTGTTGTTCTTGTTGACTTGTTTGTTTTGTTTTCATCATGATTACATATCAACTCAGGAGACTTATTGTTATTTTTGATTTCAATCAACAAGTTTTTTTGATTTCAAAGCGAACAACGGTCTTGACTAAATCTCAATCAATTCAACTCGGCTTTCTTTAAACTCCCTCTCTCTCTCTCTTTCTATAGATATTCGGACCTTTTGTATATCACTACATGCTATAATCTCAATCTACGAATTCCCGCAATTGTTTTTGTTGTTGTTGTTGTTTTTCTGCTTCTTCTAAACTATACACAAATAGAATTTATGCTTTTTTTTAATAAATAGAGTCATACTTAACTTGGTCTGGTAATTTTTGCTAGACTTTTGTAAATGTTCTTTGTTGTTGTTGTTTTCTTCTTTTTTTTGTTCAGTGTTAATAATAAATAAATAATGTGTTTTTAGTTGTTGTTCATTTTGTTTGCTTTGATCGGCATTGTTTTAGGCAATTTAGGCATAAAATTCTCGTTTTGTGGTCATATTGTATTCTTCCTCTTCGACCTTATACATTTCCAAGAGCTAGAATCCAGCGGCGATGGCAGCAAAGCACGCAAGAAGAAAAGAAAATAATCAATTTTAATCGTCCTTGATTCGGTTGATTTTTTTCAAAAAAACAATGGGCATACACGACAACATTTCACTATGACAAAAAGAAATAAAAACAACCACATCGAATGACTAATTTCACTTAAACCAATGCATGCACTAAATTGCTCCAGCCAAATGATATCGGTCAAGTGGAATCAACGGAATAATAAAGCAAATAGTTAAATGAAATCAACAATTACTATAATTTATTTTTTTCCCGTTCGGATTGTTTGTGTGTGTGTGTTTTGTATGAGAGAAAAACAAAAAAAGGAGAAGAAAAACATAATTAACCGAATTAAATGATAACAAATTAAAGCTACGGGTGAAAGAAATTAAATTCAGGCACAGCGGCTTCTGTGGAGACAATGTATATGGGTCTAACTATTACAACTTAGAAGTGGCTAGGCTATAAAACAGTCTCAATGCTGGAAATTTGTGTAATAGCTGGGTACGGTGGTATTCGCAATACCTTTTGAACATCCTTTTGCAATTCCTCCCCTTGCTTGTCATGACTCACACGCAGCTTCTCTTTTTCGCGCGCCTGCTTGATTTGGGCATTCTGAAAGTGCGAAAAACAACAAAGAATATTGCCATTGAAATCATTTAGTGTTTTGGGCAAAATTCGATTCTAAATCAAATTCAAATACCTTCTTCTCATCCATGAATCGTTTAATGTTGTTTTGCTTCTTTTCACGCAATCGTCGATCTTTTTCACCTTTTGTTTTGAGTGTTTTATCATTTAACACTTCTTTGGCAGTTTCGACGGAAATTTTGGCCTGCTGAGAGTTCAGATTCTTATTATCACGTTCATGTTTCGCTTCGAGCTGTTTGATTTGAGCCGCCTGTGTGGTTTCCATTAATCCTTTGAGAATGTCCTGTTGATCTTGAACTTGCTTCTTCAGCATTTCCCATTCCTCTTTCTTATGCTTTTCACACATTTCACTCCATGCGCTCGTTTGATCGGTTATCACTTTGCGTATATTTTGATCGGCTTTGATTTCATCTTTGCTTTTGCCCTTGATCAATTTCTCGATGCTTGCATTCTGCGTTTTTTGCAATGATGCCCGCTCTTTGAGATGCTTCTTTTTCAATGTTTCCAATTCTTTGGCTTGTTTTTTGGCAATTTTCTGAAAACCTTTCTCCTGACGCAACGTTTCCAATGTGATTGGATCGAATACGATGGGCGGTTCTTCAATTCGCTTTTCTTCTTTCTTTTCCATTTTCGATGCATCACCACTGCCGCCCGTCTCTTCGATGCCGAGTGCTTTCATGTTGTCTTGTCGCTCCTAGAATAGGAAAGTGGAACATTGGAATGGATAATCGGGCAGAATGACTGATAAACGCATGGAAAAAGAACAGGAAAAAAATGACTTTCACTTACCTTAGCCGCGCCCATAAAACCACGTGGATCACTCAATGCATCCATGAAATCTTCAAAACCATCGGGTACATAGATTTTCAATTCAATGTTACAGAACAGCATGGGAAGTGACATTGGAAAATTGGCTTCTGTACGCAATGAAATGTGCCGGTAGCCACCTTGCAAACCATCCAGGGGCAAGATTCGTTGGCCGAGCAATTTTCCATTTTCATCATAGACACCCAAACGTAACACCGCCAAGTCCGGCAATACGACTTTACGAAACAGGAACGGTTCTTCATTGTAAACGGGATTCAAACCGTTTGCTGGCACCAAACGCGTACGAAACTCTTTTCGCACGGTATCAGATGGCAAACCATACATATCCACTTCGACGTAGGTGCCAACTTTTTTATCGGACAAGAATTGACCGGCAATGACTTGAACACCGCACGATGCGGCAATCACACCATCGACTGGAGCATCGGCAAATGGATCGAAATCTTTATCGGCACGTCGCATAAAATCTGGCTTCAACAAATAACCAGTGCTTCCATTGTATTCGAATTTTCCTTGATTCAATTGCATGGGCAAATCGGACGATTGAAAATTCAATGAGACCATTTGACAGCCAGCATTCCAAAACACTTGAGGCATGTAGTTGGACGAATCGGCACGCGTTCCTTTCGGATAAATTCGAGACATTTGGCGTTTGTTGTAGTTGACAAAGTCAATGGCTTGCTGCTTCAACAAATTCATGCCCGCCGTTTCGGAGAACGATGACATATTGTGATGAATGTTCTTTTCTTCAGACGAACTGAATGTTTGGAATTTGATTGGCTGCGCGTAGTTGATCATGGATGAAAGCCATGGATGCACATTGGTCGTCGATCCTGTGTAATTGATTGGAATTTCGATTCCTTCGCCACCATCTTGTGATGCACCCGGCAATCCGGCGGCCACTGGCGTTGCAGCTTCTTCGGATAGCTTTTTATCCAGCGTTGGAACGGCGCTTGCATCTTCTGTTGGCTCCTCATTATCCAATGCTAATTGACCTTGCTGGAACAATTCCAATTCGATTTTCTCCACTTCGGGCTTAAGTCTTTTGTTTTTGATCAAAATCTTTCGTTTCAACAATGATGGCGGTGGTAATGGCGCACCTGGTTCCAACTGAAAATTTAATTTAAAAAAAAAACGATTATGGTGAGAAACGAAAATGTTAAAATGACATAATAAAAAATTGAACACATACTGGATAATCTGGTAACGGTTCCTTTAACAATAGATCACCAAAAATTTCATCACAGTATTTAGCTAATTTATATTGTTGGGCACGAGAACAGTGATTCTCGAACGATAGAATGACTGGATAGTCGGATGTGACGAATGCACAGTCTCGAATCGCATAAATGACATCTCTGAATAGAATATCGGTGCACATGGCCATGCCGTGAGTGATGATGGGCTCTTCATCTTCACCTTTACCATCCCAGCAATCGAGCTCGACACAACGGCAACCGGCCAACAATGTTTGACGATACATTTCAACCGAACTTTTACCACCAAATTGACGACCCGACAAATACGTATTGTGAGATGAATTGATGTAGTAATGCGAAAGCGGTTGATCCATGTCCATGTATAAATCCAATCGATCCAAAAATACGGGCGCATTTTCGTCGGACATTAAATAGCGTACGAAACCATCTTTTGACAAGACTCCATTAGTACGCGACTCCTCATCCTGTTCGTACGTTGTAATAATCTCTTGAGCACGTTTCTCATCGTACAATGGATACAAGATCTCGTTCAATCGCGGGTCACGTTGTTTCTCATTCAAAAAATTAATGAACTGGTCTATATTGATGGATTCAGCTTTGCCTTGTGTTCTATAATTTTGTTAGGTGAAAGTGAGAGGGATAGGGAGAAAGAGAGAAAAAAAGCGCAAACATAGTGAAAATGAAAGTCATTCAAACTGATCTTGAACCTTGAGAGGAATAATTAAAGCTTTCGAAAGAGGATGGGGGAAAATAAGAAGCAGCAGCAGTAGCACTTACATCGACCGGAATAGTTCTTCGATATCGTTTCGAGGGCAAATCTTGTGGTAGAGTGCATAAAACTTGTCGAATGTGAAATCAGCTTTATCCATCGTGTCATTTTTGCCGGATGGCAAACCAAGATCCGACAAACATTGATACACCATTTTCTCCGTTTTGCCAGACGCAAATGTTCGAGCCACCACTTTCACTGGTACACGTCCTCTTGCGTCAACCAAAAAACCCAATCGCATCCAACTGTCAAGCGAAAGAAAATTGAACGGGGTAAAATTAATTTCGATTTTGTGGCTCAAATCCAATTATTTTCAATGTTCGAAGCAACACACACACATATCTAGCGCAATTGCCGTTTGAATAATTTGTGCTCATACGAAATCTACATTCTATTCTCTATTTTGCAGGCACATTTTGTACACAACCATTGTTGTTGGTTTTTGCAGCAAAATGAAAAGGCGGTATGGTAAAATGGAGTGAGAGCGTGTGGTGAGATGTGAAAAGTGGTATATATGGCATATCAACATCGAAAAGTGTCTAGTTTTCAATTTGCAAGTGACAAATGAGACGATATGTAAATGATTTGCTGCGTGCATACATTAAAATTGGAAAAAGCCGTGTGCGATGAGGAAAAAGGAGGAGCATAAAGATTCAAGCAAAAGATGATGATGATAGCATTTCTCATTCTCAAGTACAACATAAATCATTCAATTTGATGCTATTAACAAGCGACTTGCCACTCTGAAAATTAAAAGCGGGAAAATGCGATTTCCATGAAACTTCAACAACAAAAACAACAGCAGCAGCAGCAGCAGCGGCAACAACAACGAATGCTTATCATGTTTGACGACGAGCAGAACAAACGTTGCGGAACGGATTGATAAATTTGTAAAATGATTATGTGCGGTACTTTTGAATTAATTCCGTATGGCCTGTGACATAATGTTTACTAAGAAATTTTGCTAATTTTCCTACTACTCTTGTATAGTGGGTATGTGTATGTCTCTCTGTCTCTTTCTATGAGTATGGAAAATACCGCTGGCAAAATACCAATTTACTGAATTTTTGATAAACCGCTCCAATTGTGTGTGTACTAGTACTTACTGCTTCATTAAATTCGTTCGAATGCAAACATTGTTGATTTTATTGTTATGTGTTATGGCACGAAGGCCCTGCTGCCAAGTCTAATTAAACGTGAATGAAAATTAAAATAGTGTTTCTCTTATTCGTGCACGGTGAAAATATTCGCTTGAATCACACGAATCGACATGAAAAAAAAATGTACATAAAACAGCCCCCCCAAAAAAAAACCAAATCCAAATCTTTTGTTCTTTCCCAAGCCAATTCTGGCTTTTCATTCGTGAATGAAATGTGTTCATGAACAATGACGTTAATTGAATTACACGGATGAATTCACCGAGGTGAAGAGTTAACCATCAAAAATGCCAATTAGTTATCGAGAGAAAAAAAATCATATCAAATACTCATTAGTAAAATGTGAAAGGCATGCATATGTTAATTACATTGATATAGATATTTGTATAGAAAACAGAAATCACACATAATTAATATGAAAAAAAAGAAACAGACACGAACAAAACCACAAGTGAACCAAAACAAAACGGAAACCATGCATTAGTCAGTTGATGCCGTCGTGGTGTTCGTCGTCACAAAAACTGGACGCATTAACTTACTGCTTAAAAATACATGTCATCGGACAAATATTATTTGCTTTCACGTTGTGTGTGATTTTTCGCAGGCCATCAACCCAAATCTGTCGATTAGATACGATTAAAGTTTAGTTTTGGTTTTAAATTATAATTGATTATTTTTCGGTTGGTTTAAATAAGGAGAATTGTAGTTTGTTTAAATGTTGAAAACCCAAAACGAAGATGAAATTCATCGGAGTTATTAGATTTTTGGTTACAAAAAAAAAAACTTCAATTTTAAATGGTTTTTTCTTCAGTAGCCTCTAGGGCAGTGTTGCAAATCACCCAAGAAGATTAAATTATTGAAATTTTAATGGAAAAAATATATATCATGAAATCCAAAAATGGTTCACACTACTAACCTTTGCTGTTTCTGCATCCGGGCAGACAATGTGTTGATAATTCACATTGATGTAATCGGTACCCGAGCATATGGTCAACGATCTTTCGTCCAGTTTTTCACCATACTTGTTCCACAGCTTATCCTGCAGTTTCATATCCTAAAATGAAAAAAAAGGTCCAAATCAATCACATAAACTCGCATTTTTTCAGTATTTCAGTATTTCAGTAATAATCTGTTCTCACAACGTTTGCACACTAATTGGGCTGTGTCAAAATTTGGTGTAGGTAATTGCAAAATTATCATAAGCAGTGATTTATTCGACGATTATTGGATTTAAAAATATTTGTACCGTCTGAAGTAATTAAATTGAAATATGATGAACAGATTCCAGATTTAAAGCCAATTTTGCTCTTTAGATTTTGATTTAAGTACTTCAGACGGTATAAATATTTTTCAGATGGTGCTTTCGTTCCCGCTATAGAATTTTCAAGGTAAAACTACACCATGGGTTGAGAATCAGATCATCATGATTACATATTCAGCTTAATAAGATGATTATTATTCTGGTATTACGTTTCCTTTAGACAAAAATATTTATGTCCGAAAATTGAATTCACGCCTAAGATGATTTTTTAAAAAATTGACCCACGTCTGACGCCCAGAGTGTAATTTTCAATATACTGCAAAATAACAGATTCGGAATATTTTGTTCTTTAAATTTTTTATTGAGTAGCATTAAGAAAGGTTCTCATCATTGAATCCCATTAAATCAGAAAGGAGATAAAGATTCGTTGCCAATTATCAAACAATCGAAAAATCAAATCATTTGAATAGATGCGATTCGAACGTGTATGCAACGCGTCTGCTGAAATGATTGAAGACAGGTTTTCCGTGTCAGGCAGATACAACGTGATTCAGCATCACAATGGTTGCGAATCGCCAGATCGAAAAATTAATTTATGTGGCAGTAATTTTCGAGTGATGAACATGTTTAGATTCCTATCATTATTTTAGAATAAACGAAAATTATTCCCACGATTGCGCATGAAAATGTTGTGATTTTAATTGCATTCAGTAAATCAAATCGTTATTATCTTCCTTTAAAACGAAAATTGCCCAATTCAATTATGTTCTTGATCAGTTGAAATTAATGCGGAATATGCGCTGCGAAGCTTTAAACCTCGAATACTCTCAGAACATTCGGAACGAATTTGAATTCGGTTTAAATACGATAATCAGTAAAAGCCACAAGCCACACACACACACACACAGCAAAGCAGCTACTATAATATTAAACATATTATTACGTAGGGTTACGCAAGTTTGTTCCATTTGTAACTGCTGATTGTTTCGTGCACTAATAACGCGAGCACTTCGCGTGGCAGTACGTGCCGTAATCAAACATTAAATAATTTCGTATTAATTATTGACTAGCAACAAACACGTAGATGCAATTCTAAAGCTCTGAATACAGAGCCCCATGGCAAATGAAAGAGAAAAAAAGAACATTTATTAAAAATAGCCTGAGCCGAGCTGAGTTGTGAATCAGTTATGAGTGGATTTAGCCAGTTTTCAATGTGATTCAGTTTTTCTATGGTGGTTCATTCATGTGAAAGCTCATCGCAAATATTCAACTATCATGATTATTCAAATATTCAAAGGGTTTCCCATCAAATTTTGGATCCTGCTTCAATTGTAATGAGTGGTGTGTGTAAACTTCCGTTAAGAATTCCCATCGAAGCCATTCGCATTGAACAACTAATGGTGAAAAAATAAAACTAGTTCAAACCGGAAATTAAATCGTAGTTTAATTGAAATGGAATGGGCGAGCTGGTGCTGAGATAGGTAGAAAAAGAGCGCCCACAAAATACCTCCTATTTTATGTATGCAAAACCTCAGATTGCAATTATATCCACCGGACATTCATCCATTCTGCGTGCAATTTTTCCTTTCATTCCGCAGTTCGAAAGAACGAAATGGATTCGTCATAGCACTGCATGAATAGAGAAAGAAAAATCTCTGCTATGCACGTCGCCATTCAATGAACGTATTAATTTAAAAATTTAAACATCTGCAAAATGGGTTACAGAATCGTACCGCAGAGAGCTGACTTCCTTCAGGCAGGATATTCCAATTAAATTATTCAAACAGAAGCTATTGTTATCCTTTACGTAGTCGCTTCCTCTATACACGCCGGACGGAGAAAGAGAGAAAGAGTGATTGAGCTTTTGTGCCCCTTGCGCGTGATTGTTCATCGTAACAAGTGAATTGCACGATTTCAAACTGAAAAAAAAACGAACGAGAAACCAATGCAAACAATTCTATCGTCAAAACAATGGTTGCATGGGCGATTTTAATAAAACTGTTCAATAGCGTGGACCAGTGCGGCGCTCAATTCAATCGCAATGCACAATGTATACGTGTGGTGATACTGCCGCGCAATTCGTACCACCGGTACTCAGTGAATTTTTCATTTAATTGAATGAAGATCGCTCGCAATATTAATTAAACATTCGCTTGTGGTTTTTAATTATTCTATTTTCTTTCAATATGGAATTCGAAATTCCATGTTGACGTGCTTAAATGAGGCGAACGTGTGATGCCGCCAGGCATTTCATTCAAAATTGCGGTCTATCATTGCCAATTTTTTTCTTTGCTGCAATCACAATCCTGATTGGTGTGCTTTAATCTGGATAAAAGGCAAAATTAAATTCATTTCATCATCGCATATCACTTTTCGCTAAAGTCGACTACGGTAAAGGTCACACATTCGTTGCTTCCAGTGTGCACTTATCGAATTTGGTGTGTGTGTGTGTGTATGTTTTTTTTATTATGTTATCGAAAATAAAAACTCGGGTTTTATTTGATTTTCGTTTCTGGGCTTGTCGTTTCGAAGATGTGCAGGAAAATTGTCGCCAATGTGATGGTGGTTCACTTGTCCATTTGTACTGAACGGGAATTGCTTCAATAATTTTATTGATTTGCCAATACGATAAAAAAAAATTTCTCATTGAACTCTCTTGCCTCACTTCGTTCGTTTGGTTTGGTTCAGTTTGTTCGTTCTTACGATGCTATTGAAAGTTTTCCGATTTTCTTTTGGATATTACCCAACCTGCACAAAATGGCTAAATGATTTGCCAGGCGAAATTTATCGATTAAGATTGATTCGTCGTATGGAATCCAAATGATAGCAACAACAAAAAAAAAGAACATTCACATTCACATTCACACATCGGAAAAGTACGAACAATCTGCCAAAGGCATAAAATGAATGGCTTTCTTTCGATTTTTATAGCCAAATGCTGATACATTGTGCGGTGATGTAATCTATTTGAAGGAATTTCGTTTTATTTAATATGACATCATAGTATCGCGTGCATATCACACAAGCACTTGGGCTCAAAGTGTGATTCAACCAATATAAAAACCATGAATTTCTCGTTCCTGCTCTTCTTCTTCTGCTTCTTCTTGTCTTCTTAATTTCGTCGCGTAGATGACACATTTGTTGCATGGAACCACTCGTTTAAAGAGTGGAAGAGAGAGAGAGAGAGAGAAAAACTATTTTCCGGGAGTTTACGAAAAGCGATTGGAATATTAAAACGGTTCGTATTTAATTTATCATTATTTCGAGACATGATGATGACAAAAAAAATGGCAGAACATATTTTCGCTACCGAATGGTTCAAGTGCACAAAAACACATCACCGGATGCGATAAAATTATAATGCTTAAGGTTAATCTCGTTGAATGGATGACTCGATATATACACGCGAAGACGACGGATGGACGACAGAAAAAAAAAGACACAAGACACGACGAAAATATGGAATGAATCACGAAGACAACGAGAGGTGCATAAAATGGCATAAACGCTTCGGAACAACATTTGTTTTCCGCTGATTGTCACACACAAACTTGGTAGAATTTGTTTTTTTTTTCTACTTGCTCGATTACAAGACGGCACTTGTCTTGGTCGGTTGTGGTTTTTCCACATACATTTTCATGATTTGTATGTGGAAAATGTGCACAATATGCAATTTTTCTCTTTTGCTCAAGGTTTTTATTTTTCTTTCCTGACATTTCTCAACCACAACCATTCAGTGCAGTGAGTACATAAACACCGACATGTTCCGATGCACATGTAACTAAGCTCAAGAAATTTAGAGGCTTGAGTAAATAAAATGAATGTGAAAATGCCTGGATACAACAAAAAGAAGAAAAAATATATATGTTAAAATCAGGTCAAATTTCCCTTTCGTTGCGGCCGTATTTTCACTTCAATTTTTCTCTACTTCGTCTTCTTCTGCTTTGCCATCGCCGTCGTCGTTCTCGTCACGATTGTATGCACCGATCCAGCAATACTTTATCGTGTATAGTATTCATGAAGAAATCGTATTTATTTTTATGGGCCGCTACTTCCCAAACAAGAGCAACTGAATTTCATCTTTTACTCACACCCTAGCTCCACTACCTCCATCTCATCCCACTCATCGAGAGTTGACTTTTTGTTGGACAATATTTCTGTTTTTCCTCATTTTCTCCTTTTCTTCAGTTATCGTTATTTTTCGCTTTATTTCAAGTGCTTCCCATTGCTCTTTCGTGCACTTGTGAGAAAGTGAGAACAAGACTGTGGGTCTAATTTGAAATACAAAAGGCACGAGCTTTCTGAAGCAAAATATGGAATCCAACAGAACAAAAGAAAAAATGAAAGAAAATAAATAAATCGAAAAGAAGTGTTGTAATCTAAACAGCCTGCACATATACATACAGTAAAGAAAAATTGTCCCTGTGTGAAAATTGCATAACAACGTCACAAGCAACGTTAAAAGATGCCTGGCAATGAAATGGAGGACTGATTAGAGTCAAACGAATCAACAAAAGTATGTGTAATATCTGTTATGGTCGATGAGATTTGCAGTTAGAAAATATGTCGTTGTATTCGAACCGTTTCATTATGTGAGGAAAATTGCCGATACCACAACGTCGACGGAACAATGGACCTTTTCAACTCAATGTGTATCGCAATAATATGCAATCACTCAAAGTCAAACGGGATTGCCAGTGGGAAACATGTTGTTGGCGTGGATGGGTTTTTTCCTCCCTCAATTTGATCCCAACCAGTTTATTTGGACCTATTGATATACTTTGCTCCCCGTTTCTTTCTTCGTTCTCATTTTTCCTCTCCATCCACTCTCATAACTGTGTAGGATAGGAATTTTCCACATTTTGATATTTCAATTCTTGTATTTCGTGCTTTTGTTATGTTATTCATCTCAAGGAAAGCGAAACCGTCGTTTATTTCTGTTCTCTTTCTTTTTTCGCGATTCCATAACGAGCTGCTATTCGATTCAATTGAATGGGAAGTTTCTTTTGTGAAAAGAAAAGAAAGAACAGCAATTTACTCAGAAATCGAGTGGTAAAATACAAACAACACCACCACCACCACTGCCACACAAACAAGTTCATTTCGAAGAGCTTAAAACCGCACAGAAAAAAGTTAACATCTCTTAGATGTTTTCTGCTCTTTTTTTTCGCTTTATCGCATTCTGTTGACTATGATTGATGTGGCCCGGTTATTTTTTCCACTGAAAATTCCTCGCACAAATCACGAGTTCATCATTCGCGCGAGATGCAAGCGTCTTTCTGTTCCGTGCGCGCAAACTTATAATTTTATTACATTCATTCATTTGTGTGTGTGTGTGTGTACGTTTCCATGTAGCGATAGGACGTGCGGCGTTGATGCGATAAACTCGAGCTTAAATGCATTGATGAGAACAAATTGCATAAATGTGTACAACATGCATTGCACTCGAAATGATAATCTCCATCTCTGTTTCTGCTCATTTATTGCAAGACCTTGTGCGCGCTTACACACATGACACGGCGAGTAGCCGTAGTGCGACATCGGCATGGGCAGCGGAACAATCACGCATAATTTGATTATCTTCAATTTACTTATTAAATTAGAAACATTAGAGCCCCGATGCAAAGTTGCACGATCAACCGAAGCGAGTGAAGTGAAAACAAAAATCTGCATTTCGAGCGGCTAAGCCTTGGTGTGTTCACCGTGGAATTCGATGTGAAATGAAAACACGAGTCAATTAGAAACGTGTTAAAAAGAGAATAATCGTAAAATCATACGCATTATGCAGACATACAAGGGTATAATTGAATTGTGTCCATGTGGAATATTCGCAGTCATTACGTCCACGTGGCTGTGATAAAATGGCTTACATATGTGTGACAAATGTTCAGTGGTGTGCTTTGGGAGAAGCAATGTATGGACAACTTTTATTTTTCTTGCCATTATTGTCACATTATTTAATGGACACAACACATTACACACACACGTAGCTGTAAATGGGTTCGTAAATGTGTAATTTAAAAGAACAAAATAGAGAGAAAAAAAAGAGAAAAAAAAGAGAATGAGAGATGGATGTGTATTGCACTTACCTTTGGAATTCCACCAGCCCGAATATCACTCACTTGACACAATTCGATAACATCTCCCTCCTTTGGCAGCAAATCGTAAAACCGCACCGCACCGCACCATCATATTCCGCCAGAAAACATTTACAAAGAGAAAAACATATATATTTCGTTGATGGAATTGAAAATTCACATGTAACGACCAAAAAATTATTACTTATACAAAGAGCTAGAGAGAAAGAGAGAGCGAAAAACAGCAACGAACGCAAATTAAACATTTCCGAATTTATCACGACAACTCCAACCGCGTTAGAGTTCAACCCAACACGGAATTCAAATTAGTCAAAATTAGAGCGGCCAGTCGTTGTGAAAACACGAAAAATGCTTTTTATTTTCGTTGAATGAAACAAGACAGAAAAAAAAAACAAATGGTGTAATCGTGGGGATACCGGTGTATATATTCATAAGGTTATTCATGGGGCTATTCATAAAGTTTCCTTTTATTTTTTGTTGAATCGTTTTAAATAGAATGATGTCACACAGGACATTTTACGGTGGGGTTTCAATGCAAAACAATGGGCTATTGCGGAAAACCGTACAAGTTTTATTAGTTCGAAAGGAACATGAACCGTCATCAAACTCAAACAAAATGAACACCCTGAACAAATTGAGCTTATTGTTATATACACATGGCCAATTAAATCGGCGCGTTTCAAACTGTGTTGTTATTGATTTGTTTCGATGATATCCATGGCATGAGTCTTATTCGAATTGGTATTTTTTATTAAATCCATGTAAAATATTCTATTTTCGAACAGGGAAAATTCAACACGAAACTGGACAAAAGCCATTTTATGCTCTGTTAGTGATTTGTAGTTATTTCGTTGTGAAACTCATAAATAATCGACCGAAATGTATGTGCGGTTGACGAAAAATGCAATTAAAAGACAACTAAGAGAGAGGAAAGCCGAAAGTCACTGACACTTTTGTATTCGAAAACCAAGGAAAAAAAATGTTAGCGTCATGAAAATCATGAAACTTGAACATTGAATACGAAAGTGAAGCCATGTTTTTTCGATTTATTTTTTAATTTATTTCGGGTGATTGTTGTATTTCTGATACATTCGACTATTCTCGTATCGAAGAATATTCGAATGTATCCAAAAATATTCCATCGATTTAATTATTGTGAGGAAAATGCGTTTTCAATACACGAGCTCCACACGTTTGCCGCTGCTATTTATCGTGTCTGACTCTGTTTTTCCGTTTCGGAACGGATTTCTCGAATTTTTCTACAAACAGTGTGTGACGAGTGTTTGTTGTTGCACGATGCTAGTTGTGGTGGAACATTCTAGCACGCTCCTTCTTTCTTATTCATATCGTCGCTAAATTTAGACACACTTAAGAAAATATGTGCGAAAAAATGTTTTAGTGTTCACCGTCATGCTTATCACCCAAGAAACAAAAAAAAATTTGAATTCATTTTTTGAGATAAAATTGTGAAAACACCGAGGAAGAAGAGAGGAGAAAAAAAACACGATTTCCACGAATTCATGCAAAATTAAGTGTAATTCTTTTTTCAGAGCTGTTGATTTTTGCTTGAAGTAAACAAAATTAACAAACACGATTCTCTAATCGAAATGGAAAAGTAAAGTTTGAGACAAGCAAATTGTCTCTACTTAAAAAGCCAAACAATACGAACGCAACTTTTTCTTCCTCATTGCTTTGCTTTGCTTTGCTTGCGTCACACAAGTTGTGTGTGTGTGTGTGTTTGAAAGAGAATTGAAGTAGAATAAAGAAAAGGAAAAAGTAAACGTAAATATCTCTTATTGTCTGAACAGGACCAGCAAGATAAAACAATGAGAAATGTACGTAAATTGTGTTGGATATCAGTGCTGTTGCTTCTTCTCAATTAATCGAAAACGAGCGAAAAAGCGCGCGCGCCCGCGCATTGTGTCCAACAAATCGGACTTGATGTAAAGTAAATTGTTTGTTTAACGTACCGTTAAAGTGTGTTAACTTCGATAAAGAAGTTTCTTTGTTTGAATTTTCTTCAGTATGTGTGTATGCTCTTACGATGAGGGCGAAAAAAAGCGGCACCGTTCGTTCATACGTTTGTAAATAAAATATTTACTCATTTAGCAATAGAGAATTTCGTAGCTCGAGGCAATAACGAACCGCCATTCACTTTCTCATTAGCAGTCAATTACTACGGCACCGATGTTTGGAAATAATCACAACGAAATATGCTCAGCCAAGCACAAAAAATAAAGAATGAGCACGAGAGAAAAAAAAGCCGTCCGTTAGAATGTGAACTACTTTAAACAAATCTTTGAATGATATTGCGCAACTGTCTATTCCAAGTATATATATACAATTGTGAGTGGTGCTGTTATTTCTCTCTTAATCTGTGATTTTGTTTTCTTTTTTCAAATGAAAAACATCAAATGATCTTACCCGTCCTTCGCTTTTCCAATAGATGAAAAATCCATACTCATCAACTTTGAATGTACAGGCTAATTCGAGATCGGTATTATCTTTCTCTTCAGTCCAACGATCGAAGACACATCCGGCCAACAGTGGCTCTGGCACTGGGATTTGCCAATTAAATTCAAACTTTTTGGTCATTTTCTTTTGTTTAACCCGACGAAGAAAATCCTTAACGAAATTTAATTTAAAACTCTAACAAAACAGATATATCACTGGTTTTACTGGATCGTATCTCTTTCTCTCTACTTGAATGCTGCTAAACGTTGTTCCGTCTGCAATAGAAAGAATGAACAGAAGCAAAAAAAAAACAAATGAAATTTAATTTCCGAATCGATTGAATTGTACCGTGAAACCGATCTATTTTTCTTTATTGTGAAACGAAAGTAAACACACCAAGAAACAAAAACAATGTTGCATCGCCAGAAGTTTGCAAGCGAATGCAAGGAATGTTCAAGATGTTTGTATTCTCGAATCATGATTGCATGATTTTATTATTGTTTGTGAGGCTTCTTTCAATTATACTTCCTCAGTCTCGCGCAATTTTCATCATTTTTTTTCTTTTTGTTCCAAACAAACAAACAAAAAATGTATTCCATTTTTCATCTTCATTTATCAACTAATTGGATCTGGAATTCGTTGTGTATAGAAGCAGAAAAAGTGGCGTGATATTCTGAATAAATTAACATGAAAACTTATAACATTTGAGAATATTTATTTCTACTGTTCAAAAAGTCTCATGCGAAGTATTACGAGCACGATCAAGTGAATCCGAACGCAACTCAATCAAGTTTGAACAGTTATTCAACGAAAACTGGGTTTACTAGGGTTTGAAAATCAAGCACTGAAAATTGATATAACCTATTTTTTGGGCGGCATTTTAGCTTCCTTTCATACAGTAAAAAACACAATCACCGCCCCCGCACAAACGAACGCTTTCGCAACAAATGTTAACATAGCTTTATTGATTGTCAATAAATTGACAAGTAAATAATTGGAGGTGTTGTACTATGAACTATAAAATAGGCAAATGAGCACAGTTTACTAACGCTACGATGATATGCGTTCGATTTCAATCTGATTTTTTTTGGGGTATAATTTTGTTGTTGTTTTTGTTTTTTTTTTATCGCGCCATTACAACGTGTTAAATTATGATATGGAATTAATGAAACTCAAATTGATTGACGAGCGTTCAGCTATTTATTAGCCAAATGATTAAACAAAAGTCCACATTCGAATGATGAATCGTTTAATGTTTTGGAATGATTCTCGTCAAACATGCACAACACGCAAATTCAGCGCTGGCGGCGGCGCTCGCATTCTCAATGAAATATCGGCCTATTTTTCGAGCTTCGCCGAGCTGTCTACCTTTTCGCACGCAAAACCGCGATGGATGTAGCGGCAAGCGTGGTCGTCCCTCTCTCGCTTGCGCGCGCGTCAGCAACATCATGTGATACGGATAAAAGGAAGAATATTCGATGATCAATCAAAGTGAATGAATAGAGCTCAAAAGAGAGAGAGGGAGAGAAAGAGAGCAATGAATAAAACTTATTGCCAAAGCTTTAGTGTATGTTTTGTGTTGACGGTTGTTGTGGTCTTTGCTGCGATGTCATTGGACCGAAATGAGGCAACACAAACATTGAAATATTCAAAACTGACAGCTTTCATACAATGACTCAACACAAAAACGCAACGATTGTTTCAAGGAAACACACTCACTTCGCCTGAAGCCGAATGAAGAAAATATCGAGAGTAAAAGATAATTTTCTCGTTTGTGTGTGCTGTGCGCGTACAACCATAATACGAAATGCGGTGTTTATCGCGTGGTGAACGAGAATGAAAAATGAATCGAATTCCAAGTGTGCGGGAGTTGGTTTGCGGTTGAAAATGTCTTTCGCACGACAATGCCACACAATGTAGCACGCCAGGCAAAGGTGTACTTCATTTTTTGGCCAAACAACGAATCAATCAAAATAACGAGCGAAGAAACAACAGGAAAACAAAAGCAAAATGAGTGATTAATTTACAACATCTATGATACAAAGAATGGCGTTGAGTTTAGATTTGTACACAAATAAATGCCAACCCTTCAGGCCGAACACAAACAATGTCGTCGATGAAATTATTGTTTCTTTCCTTTTCTATGGTTGTTGTTGTTGTTGTTGTTGTTCTATGGGATGCGCTTGATTTGTGAACATGGAGCAAATGGCAAATGTATTCGAGCGATCGGTGTATCGGATTCAAGTCTGTTTGACAAGTATCAAATATACGGAACTAAATAGCTCAGCAACAGTTCACTGGATCCATATAATTTCATCGATGTGCTGTTGTTTTTTCACAGCAACTATATACCCCAGACCGATATTGTCACACGTTCAAACAACAGATTTGCGGTTTTATTTTATCTCTACCTATTTATGCAGATATCGAGTCGATTACATGAATCACACGTTGTTCGCACAGGCATATCAGGGTATTTATATGATGTGTTGATTGTTCACCTGCACACGGTCGCTGCCGCTGCGGCGGCGTCAGCTTTTAGAGCCAGCAAAAATCACAAGACTAATGAATTAATGACGCGTTCTGTTGCTTATCGAAGCTCAACAGAAAAAAAAAATTACCTTATAGCTACTGCACTAGAATAGAGTATGATAGAGCATATACTATATATATACACATACGTGTGTATAATTCAGCAAAGCAATCAAGTGATAAAAAAGCACTAAGCGATTTTTATCATCGTCCGCCGTTGCCGCCAACAACAATTGTCTTCCTTCTTTGTCGTCGTCGTCGCCGTAGTCGTTCCTTCTAATACAGTATAGTAGTAACACGAGAATACTTTCTTGGTGAAACAAACCAGCCGTAGTATTTGTTTGGAGCGAACGCACAATGTGTATTGTTTCTTTTTCTCGTTCTATCTATGTTTTCATTATGAGCTCGAGCTTGCTGTGTTCGACCACTGCTGCTGGCTCGAGCTGTTTGTTTTTATTGTTTGCCTCTTTATATGGGATTATATCAGTTGAATAGCGGTTACGATGAGACTATGACAACGATGATATAGGCGAGAAAATACAAATCGGCCGTACGCTATTTTTCGCTAAATTTTTCTTTTTCGGAGAAGATTGGCGTTTCTCTGCGTCTTTTGTACACACGAAAATTATATTTAGGCGCATCTCTTTTCTCGCACTCTGACATCAATGACACTTCGCAACTGTTGTTGTGTATTAATATTCGGCACACAAGCACAAAATAATCGTCCATTTATTGCTATTATAGTGATTGGTTTTTATGCTCTCCGCTCACACTCTCTCTCTCTTTCGCTTTCGGTTTCTGCCACATTCATTATCCAATTCACTGATATTTATTGTCTCGATTTAATTTTCCCAATTGTTTGCCCGTTTTCTTTTTTGCATTTTAATTTGATCATAATTTTATTTTTTTTCTTTCGTTTTGTTTTGTTTTGTTTTGTTTGTTTTCAACCGAAATGTGTCTAAAAATATAAATGTGTTGTTTTACGTGTTTTTTTCTGTGTTTTATCGATTCATGCCATAAATAAATGAATGGGAGCGATTGCTACACACACATGGTTTTTTCAACCCACAGTCGAATTTTGAATCAAAATATTACGATAGTCGAATGATTTGAAGAGGCCATCAAACTTTTCGGTTTCAGATTAACCACGAAAAAAAAATAGAAGAAAAACAACAACATCGAACGCCAAATAGTTTTCAAAATGAGAAATTCACTGATGCAGAACATTCGCAAGATGCGAACAAGAAGGAGTCTCTATGTGTGTGTGTTTGTGGGAGAGAGAGAGAGAGAGAAATAGCGAGAAAAAAGTGCTTGTTCTTTGTTTTCAGTGCGCTATTATCACGCACAATGTCGATATGATAGTTTCACGTGACGATATTTTACGAACTTTGAGCGATGGACCAACTCTTTATTTTTCGGTTTGGTTAAGGAAGTGTCTATTTCGAAACTATTGAATCAAGTACTTGTTTAATACACGAAAAGCTTCTTCGGTTGAAAATCAACTTCAATTGGTTGAATTTGTCAGGCAATGTTCGTATTTGTAATGAATGAAAAAAAAGAAGAACTGACACGCAATCGACAAATAACAACATACGCGCACCGAAACACACTCTATCTACACCATATCTCCAGTATCAACACGGAAGAGTTTCATGGAAAGGATAATTTAAAACACACACACACCAAAAACGAACCAAACAAATGAAATTTGACAGAACAAAATAGATCTCGTTGCCAATGTTTTAGAAAAAAGTTAAATGAAAGCACTTTTTCTTGCATTTATTTTGCCACACAAGCAATTAATTCATGGTTTTATTTTTTTTTTCTCCCTGTGCTCTATAGGTGTGTGAATTTTTTTTTCTTTACTTCTTCTTTCACATCACTCGTTTGATTTATGCAGCGCGCACCAAAAATTGACTTCAGCATTAGAGCTCATCGACAAGAACACTGATGAGAGCCACCGACAAAACACGCACTCGATACGCCAATATCAAATTTATCATTTTCGCTTAGCGATGATGATAGACTGATGGGAACACGATACGAAATTGAAATGAAACGACAAACTGGCAACAGAAGCAGCAACAACAATCACACATCGACGTCGATTCAGAATTATTAAATTCTTTTACACTTCAGTTGGATAATTTGCACTCACTCGCGCCTCGCTCTATCTCTCTTTCACTCATTCACTCTCTTCACTTGCTTTCGACATCGGTGGTAGTATGCAATCAGTCGGTTTCGTTTTGCTTGTGTGTTTTACCGTTTTTTAAGTTTTCTTCTTCTTCTTCTCTGTCTCTCTCGCTCTCGCGTTCTCTCTCGGTTTCGTTTTGTTTTAACTAAGACAATCGCATGACACAACGCGCTTTCAAAGACATATGAGTCTGTGCCTTTACGTTGATTCTACGAGAATTTCGCACACATTCACTACTCGCACTGTACAACATAAATACTGATATACGACAAACACCGAACAATTATGCGCTACTTATCTCTCTCTCTCTCTTTATACGTTAGTCTTGGAGCGAGACCGAAAGTGAACACCACACAACGAGTATAACGAATGAGGAAAACGCAGAAAATAAGTTAGTCGAACAAATCTTGAATGCATATGGTGTTGAGACAGTGCACGACAGAGAAAGAGAGAGAGCACACAACACACAAACTCGCCGAATAAACAATATGTACGAATCAAACAAGATACTTTGCGCAAACGTAGCGAATAGAGAGTAAAACGGGAGTAAAACATAGAGAGAACGAACTACTACACAAAACCCATACACTCATACGAACGAGTCTATTAAGCGACTGTCACACATCCACATCCACACTCATACAACGAAAGCGAATACTTCAAATTGTGTGTTGCACAAATAAATGCAGACAGTTGAATGAATCGAATGGGCTAAAAATAAAAGTAGACGAAATCAAAAGAAAAAAAACGGCTTGAAAAAAATGTTTTTAAAGATTTGGTATCGACAGAATTATTGAAATTTTTCTTGAAATTTGACGGTAAAATAGGGAAATCCACAAGGGATTTGAATACAGCCGTCGTATTGTATCTCCCACGCTTCGGTTCATGCATTGATACGGTCCTGTTTTTCTAGCATACACACATATGCACAGCGAAATTCCATTGACAACACCAAAGCACGCATCCAGCAACATACACGCACATGCATACACAGTACACTCATACAACCGCAGCCCACACCATTGGACAGTGCCAATGTATCGCACAGAGGCAGTGTGTCAGCTAGCGATGCATCATTGCTTCGATATTTCGATGTGAGCGCTCGAGTATATATGTCGATGTGCATTTTCTTTCCAAAAAATCACGTAATAACATATACCTGAGAGTAAGGTAGTAGCATTCTAAAGTTGACTCAGGATTAAAACGAACATATTTTCAATAGTAATTTCTACGAAAAATTCCATCGGAATTGGGAGCTTAAAATTGTTTATGTGGTTTATGATTGGAAAATTTGGTAAAAAATCCATAATAATCGATTCAATCGGCAAAATTTTGGAAATCAATGTGCAGTTGTTAGTGTCATAGAGCAAAAGAGTGAGAGCGAGCGAGAAAGAACGAGCGAGCCATTGGGAAAGAGCCACTATTAGCGACAGTGTGTTTTCTGTGTGTGATAAATCGATACATGGAGATACGCATAAATATGTGTATACCATCTCCATACTGAACATACCAACAGCGACACAACAGTGAGCGAGACAGAACGAACGAAGAAAGCAAACTCAACACACGTCCATCGTGTGGATAAAACAGAGACGAAACGATTCCGAAAAAAAGACAATTGACGTTTGCGCTCTGCAAGCAGATCCCGTAGTATATTTTCGAATGGCGATGAATGTCGTCGTATGAAAAAAGAATTCTTTTTTATACATACTCAAAAAGGAAAGTTGGTGATTAATCCGAAAATTATAACTTGCACGCGCAATAAAACGGACGGACATTAATTGTGCGTTTCCTTTTCGTCGACGACGATTTTGGTTTTTTTTTCTCCATTTTTTACAAACGTGAAAAATTGTTCGCGAATTTTGTTGTACACATAAAGAAATTTCCGCTCAGAACTGGAACTTGGCTGGAACAAAGGAAAAAAAAGGTGATTTTTCTTCACGCGTGTTTGGCAGAGTAGTGTTATGCGCTTTCGGGTCACATATCGCAAAACAATAACACAGCAGCAACCACAATAAGTCAAAAACCATTTTGGTCGTAGAGTACGAACAAGAGTTGAGTGAAAAAAAAATCCAAAGCGAAAAATTGAACAAGAAAACATTTGACAAAAAGAATATAGAAAAAAAAGAGCACAAATAAATCAGTGAAAAAATGGCGTCAGTATCGTCGTCATCGTCGTCGTTGTTAATTGAACGCAAATGTTTGAAAAGTCGATTATTTCCCACGACGCCAGCGATTTGGTGTGCAGTTATTTTGTTGCTGGCCATTACAAATGGCTGCCGCTCCATTAAATTTGAAGGTGAAAATTTTGGTAAAAATAAAGAACATATCCTGGAAGCATCATATCACGGATTAATCAAAGAGAATGAAACGTTTGTTGAATTGACGCCTGTAATTAAAGTGGACGAGACGCAAGTCTGTGATTTTCGTATCATCAAAAAAAGCAATCATGAAATACCGTTTGAAATTGAGTTGGTCGACAATTTGGCCGTGATCAAAGCAACAAAAACGCTCAACTGTGAAAAGCATATAATTTATCGCTTTGACATTGTGGCCATCCTGTGCGATGGCTCGCACTCAAACACAGCCAGTGTGCATGTTGCCGTGAGCGATATTAATGAATATTCGCCCGTGTTCTCGCAACCATCTTACGTAATTGAAGTGGATGAAGGACGTTTATACAAGGAGATTATTCGTGTTGAAGCCACTGACCGTGATTGCTCCCCGTTATTCGGTGACATCTGCAAGTATGAAATTCTGACGGGCGATTCGGTCGATCATCTGCCATTTTCCATCGATAAAGAGGGTATTATTCGCAACAATGCACCACTATCGCAAAAAGCATCACAAAACCACATTCTGTCAGTGGTTGCCTATGATTGTGCAATGAAACAATCGACTCCAGTTATGGTAAACATTCATGTGCGACGTGTGTGTGAGGCTCGCATCAATAATGTACCCGATCACATCAACTACACGACTAGCGTTTCGACTGGCGTCGAACTGTTTCCGAAAATTAATTTGGAATTGTGTCACTTGCAATGCCCCGACACAAACATTTTTATCCAATCAACTGTTCATTTGAAAACCAATCACATTTCGTACGGTTGTGACCGCGATGCAGATAAATGCTTCCAGCAAAATAATGTGGTCGATTTATTGCCCAAATTCAGCCAATGGACAAAAGATTTAACATACGATGAAGGAGGCTCAGACGCTGTATTCCATTTTGATGGCAACTCGGGTGCAATTGTACCGTCAAACACAATTTCGCATCATGATTTTGCCCTACGGCCATTCAGTATTAGTACGATTTTCCGGCATCACAGCATTGCCACTAACGATAAACACACAAAGGAGCACATTATTTGCAGTGCCGATGATCACAAAATGAACCGCCACCACATGGCGCTGTTCACAAGGAACTGTAGATTGATTTTGTTGTTGCGCAAAAATTTCAACGAGGGTGATTTGAACATTTTCAGTCCAGCCGAATGGAGATGGAAGATTCCAGAGGTGTGCGATAATGAATGGCATCATTATACTGTTAACGTCGATATTCCAAAAGTGGAATTGTACATAGATGGCCGGAAATTTGATGCTATTGTCGAGGATCGTCATAGCAATCCAGAGGTTATTGATGATTGGCCATTGCATGCTGCACATGGTGTTAACACAACATTGGCTATTGGCGCTTGCTATCAAGGCTCCGAAAATCGTTTGAAGCATGGTTTCAACGGTGACATTGCCGAAATTAAAGTGGCTTTACAATCGACACTCACAGAAGATGAAATCCGTTGTACAAACGAATGTGCTGAACATTTGGTCGTACCGTCCGAGCATCTATTGGAGCCAGCTCAACAAATCCAATCAAATGCCCAGCTCAGCGAAATCATCATTGAGGGCAATAATCAAACCAACGTTGAAAAACTCTTGCAAAATATTATGTACTTGAACTCAAAGGAGATTCCAACCATCGGCCGACGCAATATTGAAGTGAAAACCGTTGTTAGTTGCCCAGGTAAAAAAGCCATTCGCTTGCCCACCGTTGATACATATTTGATGGTGATGAAAGATGAAACCGTTGAAGAGCCATCTACATTGTCTCCAAGTGACATCCAAATGAATGCCATTCCAGACAGTGACAAAGCATTGACCAGCGAAGAGAAGCCACAGATTTTGATCACTGGCAAACAAAATCACTTAGTTTCGTATCAAGACATCAAAGAAGGTGTTCATATTTTGGCCAACGTCAATATTAATGTTATGAGCGGCGACCAATTGCTATCACAACTTCAGAAATTGGACTCATGTGTGGTGACTGTGTTCCCCAGCTTAAATCCCGATCACGAACAAATTGCCATACCAAAAATGGAGAATCTATCGTCAACGCTCGACATCAAGACAACCATCACAAAAGACGGCGTTGAAATGATTGGCTTCGATTCAATTGTCAATTATCAATCGGTATTACAATCGCTGGTGTACACCAACAAGAAACCAGCTTACTACTTGAATCGTGTGTTCAAATTGTCTTGTTCGCAAATGAATTCGCGATTCCATAGCGCCGAGTATACCATGACCATTACCGTGTTGCACCCAAAACAAATGGCAACGAGTGCACCGAAAGAGGCAACCAAGCAGCCAGTATCCGCTGCTGCTGCGGTCGCTTTTGAGCAATCATCGCATGATCCATACGTATTTGCTCATGCAATGATCCACAATCATGATGTTGAGGAGCCAGCCAGCCGCACGCATGACATCAACAACATGCGACCACACGGTTCACTTCAGTCCACTCTATTGATTGCCGTGATTGGCGTTATTTTCGTGATTTTCGTTTGTGGCATCATCATTGCACGCATCCGTTCCGGTGGCGATATGCGTAGCGAATCCGTACGCAAACATGACAAACATATTCCTGCCAAACTGAACACTGATCCACAACTTGACTGGGATGATTCAGCGCTCACCATTACAATCAATCCCATGCAAAATTGTAACGTGTCCGATGAAAGTTCGGAATCGGAAAATTCCGATTCGGAAGATGAGGAAATCACCACAAATGGACGATACCGAAATGTTAGTCAATTGGAATGGGATAATTCAACCATTTAAACATTCGACGGATCAATTACCACCAACACCACTACTAACCATCCAGTCGACTGAATATGATGGAATCCCAATATGCAGAAGGTAAAATTAAAAGCAACTAAATAACAAAACAACAACAAAATTAAATTAACACACAGACACATTTTCTTTGAATCTTTTTTGAAGTTTAAATGAAAAGAAAAATTCACTTTTTGTGCTACACGAATAATTCATCAAAACACAATATATATGTTATTATTATATATGGAGAAAAAAAGACATAAGAAAATGATTGATGATACACACAAGAAAATTGAAACATTTGAGAGGAAAAAAAACAATCCCATTCTTTTCAAAAATGCTAATTATTTGAAGAAAAAAAAATTTACAGCAAAATCAGCTATTCGACATTGGAATAATGTTCAATTAATCGATTGATTGAAATTGTGGAACAACAAAAAACTAAAAATTGATGAATTATACATATGTAATTGAGCGCTATTTTACAAGTATACATGCAAGTAGGAGAAGATGAACATGAACATGAGGGAAAAAATGAATGGAAAGAAAGCTAAGAGAAAAACAAATTATACATATACATAATTATATCTGTCCTGTTGTTTTCCGTCCTGGAGGCGTGAAAACCCAATATTAAATATACATATGTGAACAAAAAACGACTATTATTCCCCTTTTTTCTCGTCATTTTTGCTCGACGTTTTTTCTTCATTGGAATTTATTCATAAAAAAAAACACGATATTCATATGAATATAGTACATTTTTGAAAAATTTGATTTTTACATCATTCGTTTTAGTTTTTTTGACTAAAGCTAACAAAGAAAGAAACAAACAAACAAATGAAAAAAAAATTAACTAAATACATTAAATAATAATTAAATCATAAATGTAATTGTATTCTTGTGTACTTTAAATGAGATAAAAAAAAGAGAGAAATTACTATAGAGACAGAGCTCGAAAGCTGAAGCTGCAGAAGAAAATGCTATAATTTTCCATTGATAGATAAATTTAGTGTGTATGTGAAGAGAGGCAGGAGATTTGATGACGGCTTCATAAAGCTATAGCTAAGCATAAAATGAAATGTTTCGTGTCCATTTGAAAAAGCACATTTCCATATTAATGAGCTTTTACGTTCGTGTCAACGAGCACAAGTGATGCGCGCGCGAGACTTGACACATCCTCTCCGTGGATTCCTTTATTTAGGCGCATCATCATACAACCAGTATCATCTGGTTCGGTCAATTAAGTATGCAAAACTAAAGTTAATTAATTAAAAATTCAATTGTATATTTCACTTTTGAATTTATTCGCTTTACAATACTCTCTCAATGTTGCAAAGTTGATTTTCTCCATTCTCGTGGATTCGTTCGTTTTCGTTATTTTTAGACGTAAATTTCGGTTGCCATTTAGATAAGTTGTCACTTGTGATTTATATTTCGAATTCGTAGAATTTCCAAACTGTTTCATGGATATTTCGTGCGCGCACTCGGCACTCACTCGATTGGTAACTCAACACACAAGTCTCGCGTTCTAATTTTAGATGGACACGACAACACACACACAGCGAGAGAATGGAAATGCTAATATGAACAAGTTAATTGTAAGATTATAAGTATAATGAAGAACAACAATAAAAAAAACACTGAAAAGACACATTCAATCTCAATGGTACACACAAAAACAAGAAAACACACACACTCACAACAACAAAAAGAAATTCTAATAATTCTAAGCAAATTATTTGCAACAACAACAAAAAAATACAATGCAATGTTAAAAAAAATAGCGTAGAAAGAAGAAATATATATATATATTTTTGGTTCCTCTTTTTGTTGGATTGTGAAAATAAAAAATGAATAAAAAAAAATTACAAAAAAACATATGTGAGAAAAAGAACTCCCAGCAAAAAATACCTAAATATTTCATTTAGAATTTCAACATCAGCTCATTTGACGAACAAACAATATGCATGTTAATGAGTAAATGTGACAAAACACTTGTCTGTCCGAATCAATAATAATTCTCTTTCTTTGGATACACAGTCAATTTGATTTTTAACACAATTTGTCGTCGCATGTCCATCATTCGAATGAAAATGCAAACAAAACTCTTGTTACAATGAGCTCCAATAAAACAAAGCCGAAAAAAAATGAAAAACAAGCCAATAATAATCGTAACTAACAACTAACACGCAGTCGATCAACACTGTTAGGATCTCAATTATCACTATTTAATCACGACCGTTCAGCAGTTAACTCGCAAAAAACCCAACGCAAATTTTTTGCTTAAAGTTCACAAGTCCGAAATTTGAGCATGGTAACTGACGAAATTATTTGTTCGTTCGTTTTTTGAAATTGGATATGAATCAAGTTTTTTTGTTTTTTAATTTGTCGCAATCATTTTTGCATGAAACAGCATAGAATTTAACTGAACAAAAATAAACACTGTGGATTAAGTTGAAATACAATAAGAGGCACATACATAAACTGAGGGAAAAAATCAGACAGATAATGAAAATTGAATGAATTTTGCCATATACAATTTCACGACAAAAAAAATCACACACACAAAGCGAAATGCATGTTCACGCAATAAGCTGATGAGATCTTTTTGAGCTTATTGGACGATTTATAAATCCAGTTGAACGAGCGAATCATTCGAAAATCGGGCCCGTATCTCCGATGCAAAGACGGCACATATATACGTACAATCATGAATGATACAGAGTAAAATATTTAAAATGAAATTGCGCCTCATGCATAAATAAAATGGGGAATTAAACCATTTCCAAAATATGAATCCGCAGCGTTTTTTTTTTTTTTATTGTCACGAGAAAAGCAATTCTTTTTTTCTCTGCTGTCGTCTGTTTTGAATCGTTCGCTAAACCCTTTAATCACTGGAAAATGGTATAAAAAGTGTACAGAAAACGTGACATAATAAACCATCCAGAAATAAACAAAAAAAAAAACACACACACACAACAGCTATACAGAAAAAAAAACTATGAAGAACTCAAACGAATTTCTCGGCACCAGGCACAAAATATTTTTCATATATATATCAAAGCTAATTTAGAATAGATTGTGTATATAAAAAAATAACAGAGAGAGACGAACAAAAAATATGTACAACAAAAATTGTAGTGGAAAAATTCAACAGTGATAATATACTAGATGCGAAGAAGCACACAACACACCGCTTTCGGGTATTTCGTGCAACTTTTGCAGAGAGAATGAAGAACGACACATAGAGAGAGAGATGGGGAGACGAAGGATACATGCACGGTGAACAGAGTGAAGGAGTGAGAGCACGCCACACCATACTAAACGGGGGCAATGAGATAAGAAGTTCAAGTGGAATTTTGTGCTGTACAACGGTTACAAATGGCATCTTAGTCGCTCACACTTTCGAGCATCATTGCAAGAAGACTGTCTTTGTTGGTTCTTATTTTCCATTCAGGCCGCTTTCTATTAGAACTTTCCCTCTCTTCCTCTCTTGACAGCATCTTGACGCTTGTTCTGCCATATCGATCCATCTTTCCTCATTCTCTCTTGGGAGAGATTGCGAATTGCTATGTGAAAAATTAAATTGTTGTCGCTTTTTATACCATTTCCCTTATTTTGTGTTTTTTTTTGTTTTCTGCCAGCGCTACCCCACTCGATGTACTTACAGGAACAACAACAAAAAAATATAATAAATGAAAAATAATGAAAAAAAAAATATAAAACACATAAAAACAACCAAACACAATTTTCATACATTTTGCCATATAATTAAAATATATTTAACGAGCATTTACCATGTTAAGCTTATTAAAGAAAAAAAAACAACAACTGGACACAAACAAAAAGAAAATCGAACAACAAAAAATGTGAACAATTCAAATTTAGATGTTTAATGAACAAAACTGGAACAGAATTCATTCATTCAGCTATGTAAACGGATGTACTTAACTGTGTACATTGACAGGACAACTGATTAAACCCAATAAAGAGATCACATTAAATACAAAAAAAAAGTTTGCATCGTGTGTTTCATTTTCCGTTTTTTATTCAACTTCCTTTTTTTATTCGAGCATTTTTTGTTTCAGACCAACAAATCTGGCATTCAGATTTTAATCGGTTCGAGATAGCCAAACAATGCAGAGAAAAAAGTTTTTTTGAATTCATATTTACCTTGAATTTAATTAATTAATCCATTTAATCAACAAGAGATTGCAGACGACACGAATTCTTTTTCTGTCCCGTTTCACATGCACAACTGACAAACTAAAGCAAAGTTTCTGTTTAATTTGGAAATGAATGAAAAGTTTTAAGGTAGGTGAAAAAAACAACAACGACTAAGTATGAACTCTTTTTTTTTCGGGGTAAGTATAAACACAGCCGAATTTTTCGGCAACCAAAGAGACAAATGGAAAAATTGCCACAAATGAAACTGGTGTTACTTTCACAGTATCACACAAGCTGCTCGACTGACAACTCGATCAATTAGGGGAAAAACTCAAACCATGTCTAAATTTCACTAATTTAATTTACGCTCGTCCACAATACCGATGCTATTCAGATATCCATGTGTGCATGCCATGTGCCATTGTACTTATTTTTTTGAAAGCCATTTATTTTCCTTTTGCTATGCAGTCGAACCTCCATGAATCGGTCACCTTCATCACGGGCATGACCAATGAACCCACTGAGAATCGTACACACCATATTTTTTCCGTATGAAACCCTTTTTTTATTTTCTCCGTTTGATAAATTTAATTTCAAAATAGAAAAATGAATTTATTTCTTTGACTTTGTGAGTGAAAAAATATTTTTCACAAACATAAACCATAAAATGTGCTTCTGTTGTTTATTACAACAGATATGATTCACGCTAAATCACTACAGTCACACATCGCACACGATCACTTGTGTATTGGTGTTGCTGTCGCTTCGTTCGTCTTTCTTGTTAGAGTGAGATATCTATATATGAAAGTAACAGCTAGCTGCCGCGCTCAAACACACACACTAGCTGGCCTTCTAGATTTTTCATTTTGGCTGATTCTTATAATTCGCAAGGCGACGAATTCACAAAGAAAAGTATATTAGCATTGCGGCTTCCATATATATTCGGGGAGTGAGTTGCTCAGTAATAATAATACCATTATAGAACTTGGTTCTACGTCGTGTCAGTGGCTGCTGAAAAGTCGAAAGAGACTATTCTTGCAGCATAGGGCGCACACTATTCGGCGTTCCGTTCGCAAGAACTGGAGTGCTTTGAATCGGTCACCATTTAAATTTTTTTTCATGGCCAACAAGTTGTCCGATGTTGCCTGTTACTGGCACGCTACTTTTCAAATGAAAAATGATACTTTACGAGTGCTGAACTGGAAAAAAAGGAACGAAACAGAACAAAAAAAATTACGATAAGACCGAACAACAACAAAAAAATGGAAAAACTAAATGGGATGCATTACTAGTGCTTCATCTCTCTCTCTCTCTCTGTGTTGGAATCCGCAGAGCGCGCCGTGTGATTTTTCAACCAGTGGCTGCTATTTTTTTCCGTTTGAAAGAGAGAATCTGCTTTGTTGTAAAAAAAAAATGTACTCTGAAGCCAAAATCCCCATTCTGAATTCCGTACGATGACGACATACGCATAGACTCAGTGCTTTTTAAATTCGTAAAAAAAATGCGAAAAGTGTTTTCAGCGCATTCTCCTTAAAACAATGGCAATAAAACGCAAAGTTTCCAACTTAACCGTAAAGTTGCGTCGAAACTTTTTCGTCATTACAACGGTAATTTGTTTAGTGAACAATGTGCGCCCATTCGATATACCACCAACAACACTGCCGTCGTTTTTCCACTCAAACGAATAGAATGCAGAGAATAGAACGAAGAGAGAGAAAAAACGAGTAAAAAAGTTTAAAAGTTTCCCTATCATGCAGTCTCATGAGTTTTTCTTCTTTTTGGTCTGCAACTTACCTTATACAGCTGTGCATTGAGGTTCCTCCAAATAAAAGTGATATGAATGACCAATGATGACGGTAAAGACGCATTTCGTGTTTTCATTTACTTCATTCTTGTCTCGATCATCCCATGTGATGGTAATGGTAATGGAGCCGGTATGGAGGATTTCAGGTAGCAAATCCGTACGTTTAAACAATCGCAAACAACTCGACAAAAATTCACGTTCCTCTTTGCTTGTTAAAAACTTACTTGATATTGCGCTGACACAAGTCTCATTTTAAATCTGTCGAATGATACGACACCGACAAAAAACCACTTCGAAATTCAAACAACCAAAGTTCAATACGATTTTTTTTTCTCAAATTTCCGTTTTATTTCTGGGATGTTAAGTGAAACAAAAAGAAAAACTTTACAATTGCCTGCTGTCACATTAAATGTTCTTTTATCGTATCATAAAAAAGGACAAACTAGAAAGGAAGTCGTGTTCGTTTTAAATGCATCTAAATACAATTACATGTAGTTCCTTGTTCTCACTTAATAGTATCTGTTTTTTTATTTATCTACGATAAATAAAATGGGAAAGTTCTTGTCGTTTTTGCTACTCTCTCAAAAACATTTTTGACCAGTACTTCAAATATATATATATCAAATTAATTTGCAAATCTACTGCAAATAGGTTCCAAATAAAATATAGAAGAAAAAAAAAGTGTTATAATTCTTAAAAAGTACAAATAAATAGAGTTGTGTTTTTTTTTATCCAGTTGTTGTTGTGCTATTGCAAACCAATTCAATCGTATGTTTCAACAAATTTAAATATCTCTATAAATCGACTAACAGCCGAAATGTACAAAATCTTCTTCACATCTATAATAATTTATTTCATCGCTTAATAAATAAATCGGTTGTTTTCTGCTTTGTTTTTCTTAGCAATGTTCATATCCTACACGGTTGTATGGATACAAAGTTGTTTTGGTGTCGTCAATAAAATGTCTATGGTCTTTTTGCAGTTCGTTTTTTTTTCTTGTGTGTGTTTGTCTGTTTTTCACTGCGCGTAATCAGTACATCAGTATATAAATAGATGAATTCGATAATTTAGATAATAGGTAATAATACAATAGTAATAGCTGCAAAGAGAAAAACGGTATATTTTCTTCTCTTCGGTTTGTGGTTGTTTTTTGTTGTTGTTGTTGTTGTTGTTGAGTGTAAATATGTTTGCCCCTAAATTGTATACGTCTTACATAGCTAGTTATTATTCATCATCATCATCAAATATATATCACTAAAAATGCTATATAGTGTCTCACGAATTGGTTACTAAACGCACTACCTCTCGTCATCATCATACCTTTGCTACTACATTTCATTCGTATAAATACTAAAATATTTTGTTGCTTTCGGTCAATCAATTTGTTTGTTTTTCGTTTCTTTTCTCGACTTCGTATTCGCTTTCGAATAGAAAGAAAGTCTCCATTTGAGTATTTATTTTTGGTTATATTTTATTAATCACCATAATTATCATTTGGCTAATTGATGGTATGCGTTTGGATGTGGGATTTATGTGTGTGTATGGGTTTGTGTGATGTTTCGACATTCAAATGACTTATTTTATGCGTTGATGATCCGGTGTACTTTTCAAAATGTCAGGCTGTTGATGTTGATGTCCAGCACTGCTGTTCGTACTGGCGCTGCCAATTGTTCCGGTTCCGTGTGATGAGTTCAGTGTGTGCGTATGTGATGTATGCATTACATGAGAGTTGAGAGTATTGTGAGCGGTGGTGCAAGCCGATGGAAGTGGTCGTGATCTAATGAATGACAAGAAAACACCAATTAGAAAACGAAACAAATCAATAGGAATAAATAATAGAGAATAGTCGGAAAAAAATGCGTCGAAAAACTTGTATGTTTACCTAATACTACGATGGCTTCCGTTTCGAGTGAGCGTATTCATTTGTGGTGTGCCCGGGCATGTGTGGCCCAATGCGTTCATGTAGTCAGCAATCAGCAGAGTGATTTCAAGGATTTTCGGTTTGCTCATTGCGAACAGTAATTTTTGATCCGAATGTGGAAGAGTGTCTTCGGAACCGACAACTATCATGAAATCATCGAGACAGCCACCGAATGTCATCACAGAACTGTATGGGTATCTAGCTAATGGTGCCATAGTTGATAACTCAAGCACATTCAAACTGTCTTCTGACACCGCCAACCAGGCAATGGCTTGATCCGAATGTCGTGGTTTTGCCTGGAACAGTGTAGCACCGAAAAATGGCCACTTTCGACAGCACGTTAAATAAATGCGAACACAATCAATTGTGGTACGCCCTTTGAGCAAAAGCCATTTCGAAATGATTTTCTCCTGTAACTGCTTCATTTCGTCCGATGACAATCCATCTCGATAACGATACGGATAGAATTTGTCGATTACTTGCAACGAAATCGATGTGGTCATGCGATTCTTATCGGTTACATAGTCACCCATGTCGATTTGTGACATTAGCGATGCCAACTCCAATGCTAAATCTTTTGTAAGTGGAAATCGTCCTTGAATCACTTGCTGATTTATTTGATAACACAATAGAATTTTCTCTTTGTCCGTTTCTTGCTTCGCCGAATGTTTCCAATACAAACGATTTTTGTATGTCAATTGAATGACTCGGGAATTTTCAAATTTACCCATGCCTTTTTCACGCAGAGCAGTTTCCCATTTTGAAATGACATCACACAGTTTGGCCAATGGATCGAGATAATGCTCGAGGTCCTTTTCAATTGGATCATCACTAAACAAAGAGAATCCATTGCTTGAATCACGACAACCTATTTCAAGTGCCAACGTCGTCTGAAATTCCTCGATAGTGGTGGACCCATCAAATGAAACCACCTGAAAAAGAATACAGAAAAAACGTCGGAATTTTATTTCAATTTTCTATTCATATGCATATTATCGCCCCTTCAAATACATACATGATAGCTGCCATTCATCATGTGAACAGGAATTGCATGCGGCAATGAGTGATGGTACGGATTTTTCAGCAGAATTGATAGCACTTCCATGCGAGATGGCTTCGTTTCTCGGCCACCATTTTTTATTGTGCGTTCCAATGCACGTTGACAATATGCAGCATATTTTCCGCATTCCGATTTCGAGTCAGCATTTCGTGATAAATGCAATTTTAAATACCACAGCAAACTATAGATGTTTCATAGTTATTTTAGAGGAGAGAAAAAAACGTTAATCGTCAGCAAAATTCGCAACAAAAAAATGTCACATGCATTTTATGTAAAATTCTAAATTGAATTTCATTGCATTTTGTTCCACGCAACGTCAACCTACCGATTGTTTTTTGGTACAAATAATGAAACGGCCAATGCAAGCAATTGCCAGCCTTGCAAAAAGGTGAAAGACGGTGGATTTGATTTGCAATCGAGTGGCGGTATGGGTAATGCCTAAATTGTTGAGAAATGTGTATACAAAAATTAACAGACTTTTCTAGGGTAATAAAAGTGAAAAAAATAAATTAGTTTATCGTTCTTGTATCGAAGCGTATATGATGTGCTCAAATTGAACGTTATCATGCGATTTCTCAACAAGACCCTGTTTCTTTTTGTCTATCTACTTTTTCGGGTTATATTAGTCAAAGTTTTAATCAGTTTTTAATTTATGATTGATTAGTGTAGTGTATATGGTTGTGGACGATAAGAAAACGGAACAAATTTTTGTTTTTAACAATTCAATTAATTTCAAACAAACAACAAATCAAATCAAGCGAAGTTTTGTCAAAACAGAAAAAATGCGGTCACAATGAAAATCAAATAAAATCCCAGCGAAAAAATAAATAGCAAATCAAATTGTATTTGTATATTGGTGTATCGTCAAAATGAAATAGTACGTTTGGTATTCTTTTTCTCTATTTGCCACGTAAGAAGAGCGACGGTAAAATTGTAGTACGTCTCTTCCTACCTGAATCGACGATGTTGGAGAGCTGCCATTGGTTTGCGATGCACCTTGTAGGGTGTCACAGGTAAACAGGCTTTGCGTTGCACACAATAACAATTGCTAAACGAAAGATGGGAAGAAATATATTATAAACGGAATGCGCCAATGAAACACAACCAGAAAAAATGAAGTCGGTTTGATCGGCAAGTGTCGCTTGATCTCGTTTTGTGTTTTTCCTTTAGAATATATATATTCACAACAAAAATATCAAAACTTTTAATTGATTTACTGCGATGTGATTTTATGGGATATGACGATAGTGTGTGTTTGTGTGTGTATATATATGATGTGGTGATGATTGTTCGGTATGCATGAGAATGACAGATAATTGTTTTTCTCTTTATTTATAAACACAGATTTTGTATCTATTGAGTGATTCGTTTGATGTGATCTAAAAACAGAAAGTGCACATTTTACTTCCACACTCACTCGTTCCCATCTCGTACGTTCCAAAGAACACTGAAAATTTCATTCAATGTGTTAAACGTTCTACTAAAACTCTATTTAAATATTGAAAATAGAAATGAACAATCGACTCTCACTAATTGAGCTATTTCCATGACGGCTAAATTCAATGAAAACTAGTTCAATTCTATCTACGCTAAAACATTGGCTTCAAGTGCAAATGTTTTTCTCGTGTTTGTTCTCTTTTTCTGCTAGGTCATTCATAAAAAATTGAGCACGACGGTAATAATGCATTAAATTGAGTCAACAGATTTCAGTGGTAACGATTTTTTCAAAAATTTAATTGAATTAAATTTCCATGTCCAATGCGAGCCGCATTTCAAACCATTTTTCAATCACTACGAAATAAATAGTATAACATTGAAACTGGTAAATATGTAGGAGACAGCGTCGAAAAAAAATGAGTGTCGAAAATCATAATTGAATGAGAAAGATGAAAATAGTGTGAGTTTTTTTTCGGTTCGTTCGGATGGATGACGATGTTTGTGGCAGAAGGAAACCATATAAACCGTCAAAACGTGATTAAAAGAGTGTGCGCGTGATGACAGACTCATCTACTATATCACATCTAGCAGCGAAAAAAAACAACGTGTATAAAACTATTTCGATGAGTTTTCCTCCGATGCAATCGAAGTGGCGCAAAAAACAACAACAACAACTACATAAGATTGAAGAAAAACAAGAGATAGAAAACGAGAGAGAAAAATAAATGAAATCTCTTAAATTCCGAGATGACTTTGAGAGAACAAAAACAAAAATACCATGGCCAAGAAGAAAAGTTGTAATACGGTCAATGTACAACGTCCAGCATTCCGTTTATATACATTTTTCGCACATAGAATTTTCAACAACATAAAATCTAGAAGAAGAAAAAAACACCCGTCGCTCAATCCAATTTGATCGTATTTTGTATGTACAGTTTCGCTGTGTGGAATACTCATGCGAATCCTATAATTTTTTTTCCACCAGTTTAGTAATGTGCGAAAATAAACAACGAATACACAATTCATTCGTTCGAAATAGAGAGGATGGAGAGAAGAAAAAAAATTGAAGAAGAAGAAGAAGAAAAAGAAATGAAACAAAACGAAAAAGATCAGAATGAAAAGCATGCAATCTAATCTTAAAAGCCACTACTTGCATTAAATGCTCTCAACTATTGCAATAAAGGGCAAAAACCCAGATTTAAGTATAAACGAATCTACAATTGCTACAAACAGACAGAGAATGGCGAAAGATAAAATTGTGTGGTGAAAAGTAATGCGAGTGCAACGTGATTAAATGTCTGTGTTTTATGAAAAAATTGAGATGGAATGAAATGGTGCGATGGTGGTGGTGTGAAGCGAAAATTCGATTAGCAAGCTTAAGCGTTTTTCGCAAACCAAAATTAAAAAATGAAAAAAGAAAAAAAACAAACAGATTTTCCACTCGAACGTCCCACCCGATTGAATCGACATGGCTTCTACTGTTCTTCATGAAACAGGGACAATAGTCTCTTGGTGAAGTATGGAGGCTATAATCTCAAGCACATGACGATTAAATTGAGGGTCATTTGAGTGAAAATATGGAAATTCTCTTTTTGATGTTCTTTTCTTTTAAAGATTCGCCATTTCTCTTCTGAATGGACACGATGAAGAAGATGATGACGGTGATAATGAGAACATGTTGCAACTTATATGGTCAACTAACTTAAATTCCAAAATCAGTTGATTGAAGCACAAAACAAAACAAAACAAAACAACAGAAAATGATAAAAAGCTTTTGCCGCCGAACTTACGCGCGTTTGCTTGCCCAGTTTCTTGTTTACCTGGACCCCGGCTCCTAATTTTTGGCTTGTGTGATGACTAGTTTGTTTTGCCAATATGCAAATCAATTCAGCCTGCAGTTCGGCCATATCCAAGCATTGCTGCAATGCGTTTTGCGCCAAAACAACATGATAATCGATGCCTGGCTGATTCACAGCGACTGACATGAAAAGTTGGCAACTCTGTAACAAACCATGTGAAAATTTTTGTCAGCATTTTTGTTTGTTTTGAAAAATTCAATGTGAGAAACTTTACCTTAAACAATTTAATAGCTTCACTTTGCAGCATCTCCGAGTGTAGCGACGACAATGGTGATGTGATTGGCTCCTTCGTGTGCAAAAGTATTGGATGTCGCCACATTACACAAGCTAATAAAAAAAATGAATACAAGGACAGTGTTCCAACACATTGTTCAAAATTTATTTTGTTGTTATTATTCTTCACGAACGAATCGACTCACTTGCATCGCCATCGGTTTCCATGAGTTTTTGCACCAATTGCTCGTATTGTGTTCCCGAACTCGGTCCTCCACCCGACACAACCGTCAAATGATACAACCAATTGTCACGTTCTTTTTTGCCAGGCAAAATCAAATAAGTTGGCCCTTGATGCGCTGGATAAATGGCAATGGTTAAATGTGCTTGGCTTTGGCTCAAATCTTCACGTTCCTCTGAATCCGAATCCGATACGTGCTCGACCTCCTCAACACGTGCATCACGCATATTTATTTGACCCAATGGATTCTGTACACACAAGCAATACTTTATTATTCATCGGCATTCAAATTGCAAACAGTAGACCAAAATGAGAAATTACCGTTTCACCAGGTGCTTTGAAGTACAGGAACATTTTGCCCAATAAAACGCACCAGCATTTCTTTGCATGGCCATTTTTCACTTTGGTTACCCATCCCTGAACGGTCGCCTTTTGATCGTCTCGACTCAACAGTAATTTGGTGGCGTTTCGTCGTTGAACATTTTGCAAGACACGAATCCAATCATCCATTGTTGCTATGGAATCGGCGGTAAGGTAATAGACCTTTTTGCCGGTGTTTATCTCAAATGTTGATGCTCCGTCGGCTTTGGTGATTCGAAAAACATACAGTTGATTTTTTATACATTCGTTTAATTAAGTTCCCACAAAATGTGTGCAATCAAATGGCAATAAACAAAAGAAATCTATTACGTTAATTAAAAAAAAGTTTTGATATCTTTGCTGTGAACATATTTCAAACAACACATTATAAATGCGACATCATCGTGACGAACAATGTATAATAAATAGAAATGAATTCATTCGAACCTCTTCCTTTAATCATCGATGTTTCGTCAAGTAAAATTTGACCTTGTGGCTTGCGGTTCTCATCATGTTGACTCTTCCAGTACGTTAACGTTCCATTCTTCAAGACGAACCATCGTTTGCGCCATGTCTTCAATTTGCCACCCAACTTTGACAGATGGCCCGACTGAAATTAAAATTAAATGTAACGTTTAAACAACAATCAATTCTTCGTATTTGCTTAAAAACATTTACCTTTTCCAAGGATTCCATTTTCTTGTTCGGTGAATCAACGTATGAGCTACGCATCAAAATCGACGGAAGTGATGCGTCCATATACGTTGAATCAGCTTGCGATAACGCGTCTGGTGGTATCGCATAGTCCTCCGACATGCCTGATTCAAATGAAGTGTCTGAAATTACTATTGGCGTGTGTGGGTGTTTTTTTGTGTGTGGTTTTTGGTATGGGGTGGGTTTTCAGTTTCATGTGAGTGAGTGGAGTGAGAGTGGAGTTGGTTTGTATTATGTTTGACAAGCAATAAACAAAAAACACGAAAGAGAAAAAGGAAAAAAAGAACAAACAAATGGTATTCGGTTAGAATTTAACACAAAATCATGCCAATTATTCAAATAGGTGGACGAAAGTATCGCATTGATCAAATAAAAATTGATGACAACATTTAAATTCGATGGAATGAATGGTATTATAGATGTTAAGATTGAAATATCAAACAGTTATTATTACGAATCGGCCGTTTTTCAGTTTATGCAAGCGATTTTCAGATAATAAATGATAAAGCATTCATTCGAACCTCTTCCTTTAATCTTTGGACTATCGCATTCAATGCGTTTGGCTGGGCTAAGACTAGACGATGTTTTTGCGCTCTTCGACGGGCTTGACGCCGAACCCGAAGTATTGCTTTCAGTATTGTCGGTACTTGAAGAATTGTGCGAATTGATTGTGGACGCTGTACATGTTGCCAATGCCACATGATCCTCACCATCGCTGGAATCATCACTGGAATCACTAAATGGCATCGTTCTTATTTGAGATGCTCGCTACAATGAGATGGATGAATAAAAAAAAATCGTCAAATTAGTCTGTTTTCGCTGCTATTTTTTTTGCAGATGATGCTTACTCCTTTAACAGTTGCATAAACGGGTACATTAATATCACAATAGCCACCGGAAGCAGTTCGTTGTGCTCGATTCCCTTCGGTCGAATCGTCAAGCGTATTCGATGTTTCACGGTTTGAATTTTCGCCGCTCGTTAAGCCATCGTTGGCAACTTGATAGATTTTCGCTTCCCAAGATGGGAATCTGTGTAATGGTGGCGTTGGTGCCCTTGGTGCATTCCCTACATCGGATGTAAATGTGTTCGATATATCGCTCGATGGACCCGAATCCTTTAGCCAAATGGGCTGCTTCTCTCGCGATGGTGTATAAATCTCTGCATAATCATGTGATGGATCTGCGTTTGCATCTTTGCCTGCAAACGGTTTCTTTGTGATGGAAATTAGGTTGAGCTCATCGACGGCAGCCGCCAAATCACGCGATAATTCTTGTGGCTCCATTGATAAATTACGCCGATGATTCAATGCCAACGGAACACGTCGAATCGGCGGATCAAGTGATTCACTACGTCGTCTACTGCTTCGATCGTTGTATTCGCGTACGTCTAAACTTAAACTATTCCGCACCGGTTGCTGTATACTATTTCGACTACTTTGACTCGCCAGATGATTTCTACATGATGGGAAAAATGCAAATTCAATGTTAGATCAATTGTTTTGTTCGTGAATTTCTCTTTTTTTCTAAATCTTTTTCACACTTTTACCTTAACAGTGTCAGTTGTTGATTGCATTTGACGTTTTGTTCGCGCAGCAATTGATTTTGTTGCTCGAGTTCGCGCAGTTTATTTGTAACCCACTCTTTGATTTTAGCTGCTTTGGCTTCGACTTGTTGTGCGTCTTTCAAACGTAATAATCGCTGTTGTTCCACCTGATATTCAAGTTGTGAGATTTCTTTTTCGACTGGAAGATTTATTGCTGAGGTCGCAGCACCAGTAGCACCACCAGCAGCTGTAGCACTAGTGGCAGCCGCAGACGTTAAACTATTTTTGGTACGACTTTTACTCGGTGACACGTTGTTTGCTTGCGATGGCCGATCACCTAGCCTTTGTTCCATGACCCGAACCTATTCAATTAGCAAATTGAAAATGGCGATAATTAGATTTCATTTCGAGATTAACGTCGATTAAATCAGTTTTATGTGTGGCAATTTATAAATGCTTATTTGGTGTTAACTTCCTACACTGAGTTCGAAAATTCAGGGAAAAAAAAACTAAGGCTAACAATGAAAATTCAATCGCTGAAATGTATTTCATTTCATACAATAGAAAAAAAGAAGCACGTCGATTGTTCTGGAAAATTATCATGTTCCATCGAGTAAACCAATTTCATTTGATTGACATACGTGCATGAAATGTTAACTACTCGAAAATTGAGCTCAATTCAATCGAAGTAAATCTGTTTACGTTGCAATTGATTGGAAATTTCACATAATTGAAATTGACATTATTAATGCAATGCATTATCGGTCTGTATGGAATACGAGGTTTTCATCCTCTTCCATTTTCAATTATGATTGACGTTTACTGACGAAAGTAAACATTTATTTTTTCTTCAAAGTTTACTAAATACTCTCATCGGTTGGTTCTTAGGTTGAGCAAACAAATGGAACCATTACACTTCATTTGGTTGTTTCTTTTCTGCTGTTGTTGTTGTTGAGCAAACAGAATAACTACAAAAAAACTGCTACTGTCGGTTGTTCGGCTGGTTACATGTTGCTTTCATGCGCAACATGATTTATAAACGACAGAAGAAAAAAACGCTCAAACTCAAAGCAACAGAGAGAAAAAAGAATGCTTGGAATAATGGTACTTTACATGAAAAAGGCTGCTTTTTTTTTTGTGATGAAAGTAATTTAAAGACGTACGAACAACAAAAACACGGCCGCAGCGACAACAACAAAAAAATCGATAATACTATGGCTTTAACATGGGAACCACACGCACATTTTGACTAAATATATCTGGTCTATGGCAAAATGCGATACGGCGAAAAAAAGACCCCAATTGAATTCATGAATCGAAGAAACAACAACAACAACAGCCGATTGAAATGCGTTAGTACTGAAGCACTCATTCTCTGTTACACGCACACATATACAGTTCACATACACACATGCAAGTGGCACGAGAAAGAGAGTTCGTGCATAGTTAGCAGCAACCCTCTTTTTATCAAAAAGAATTAAATGGTTTGTCCTGTTTTTGCATAACAGTTTTCCATCCGTTTTCCCATCAGCCGCACGCACCAGACTGTGTTTTCGTTCCATTACTATCTTACACATTATTCAATATTTCAATCATATGCACATAAATTTCGCCTTTTGTTTCCCACAGCCCATTATGTCGAAACCAAGCGCACATTCACTCTCATTTGCCACTCCGTGATGATGAATGATTCTAATTGATTGTACTGTATGGAAAAGGAATATGTATGAAATTCAACGATTTGCAACTGCCAAAAGACACACGAAAAGAGCGCTGATCGTGGAAGGAGGAGAGAGAGAGAGAGAGAGAGAGTAAGTAAAAAGACACTAGTAACATTTCAAGTGATTGTTGTGTCATGTCTATATTGTTCCGTTGACCCTAAGCGTGAACGCGGAACGCACACATTATATGCATACGTACAGATATATATGGAGAATAGAGGAACAGAGTGTGTAAAGACAAAGAGACACAACGAACATAATATCAAGTAGATTTTGTTCATTTTTGTGAATGATGATTAAAATTGACGACTGGGCGACACTCTCATGAATTAGATGCGTTTTATATATGATATTGAGCTGGGTGAATACGTCGTTCTCCATGCCGAATGAATCAGCGCGCGTTGTGCGATAATAAATTTGATGAATGTTTATATTTCCACAGCGAACAATGACTTTCGAGCTGCACCGATTACAACATCACATCGATGGAGCACGTAAAACTCGTTGCACAAACTGTTTTGTAGCATTTTGCCATTTGTAGCAACAAATTATTGAATTATCACTTTGGGATAAGTTGTGTTCAACAAACAATAACAGAACATTGAACTTTGGGTGCAGTTTGAACAATAACAGCAATAACAACGGAAAAACCAACGAATGCAGTCGGAATGGAAATGTTTGCAGCCGTAGTTGTTAGTCATAAAACTAATGATTCAGATGTGTGATGCACAATTAAAACTCATGTCGATGTTTCTCCCATTTCATTCGTCGCTAATTTGTTACAAATAGATTCGACAGAATGTAAGGACCATCATCGTCGACGTTGTCGTCGGAATGACGAAAACGAAACAAGCAAATGAAAATACGACGCCGTCTGATTCGAAAATAAATACTAACTGTCTGGATTTATGAGACATACCGCAAAGTAATCCAAAGACAATCCATTTTGGCACGAGCACAATATTACAAATACGCTACAAAGTACACAAAAAAAAACAGCTTATCGTCTTGAATTACACACACACACCAAAAACACACAGTTCGATTGGTGTATGCCACGGATGATTCACGAAATGCACGGAAATTGTTCAAGGAACATGTATAGTAAGAACGACGGTGTGTCTACAAGAACTTATAATAATGGGTATTTTTTTCTTCTTCTTAATAATTGATTTGCTGAACGCGCGGCGGCAGCTGGTGCATACACGCAAGTAATGCTCCAAAGACGAAGGACAAATACACACTAAATGCGAACTGTTGTCGCCGCTCCTGAACCCATTCGGAATCGACAATTCGAATTAGAACGACACACAAAGGAAATTGCGTCATGTTGTCTCTTTTCGACGCACGGACGACGCGTGAGACCGTCAAACGGTTTTAGTGCTGTTGAATATGTGTATGTTGTATGGAGAGAATGGTTGGTTAGTCATAACGCAGAAAAAAGACAGAACAATATCGACGCAATGCGGGTACGAATGCAACAGCGAGACACACACACACATTCACTGCTCTCCCGCTTCCATCCGAGAGAAAAGCGTACGATACGGTGAAATGGTTGAGCAAAAGGGCCAGATGCATGCGCACAATCATGTTTTCGGAGATGCTATAGACAAGGTACGCATATGTATACGGTTGCATCGAACGCACTATTCTGTGTCTGTTTATTTTGTCATTTAACATCTATATGTAGTATGCACTATGTACCCAATAGTGAATGCATTCCAGTCAATCGTTCTATAAGACTTTAACATGCTTTGAATCCTTTTGACATGTGTGAAAATCCCGACCGCAAATTTAAAAAAAAGGGTTCACTACATGCAACAAATCACACGAATCACATCCACTTTACAACGACGGCGATCTTTTTACTATCAAGAAAACGAACTTCGTTGATTTTGATGAACGACATTTTTTCGGAATTTATGACAATTTGACTAAAATGGCCTTATTTATGATTCAATTCCATCAAAACTAATAGAGTGGCGTCGAGATCCACATTAAATGGCTGAGAAGTATGAGATTTTGATGGCTGCAAGTTTGTTAAAATCATTTCGAGTTCATATGGATTAACATTTTATAGTCAGTCAAGTCAGTCATCATTTTATGAATCGTCAACGGAACGTAAAAGGAAGCAAACGCTGGAAATAGAACGTTCGTCATATGCATATATGTGGCTCAAGTGAGGTTACACAATACGTGAATACGTGATTTATATGCATCAAACAAATCACTCTCACAAAAACACACACAGGCGTCGTGGACACTCGAGCTCAATCAAATTGCCTTTTCGGTTGGCCAAAATAAATGGCGTCGACGACGATGTGAATGCGTCCAATTAGATGGGGTTTTCGTGAAGAATTTATGAGTGTCACAATAGAATAAGAACAAAAAAATGGGAGCGTCGTCCGAAAAATGTCTTATTTGAAAAATTGCATTCAGCTTACGGTTACATTAGTTTGCTTGAGCCGCCGTTTTACTTTGACTGAAACACTGAAATCTATGTCAAGCGAGTCAACATTTGGCAACATAATCATCTACAATTCCACCGTAACTGCTTTCATTCATTGCGGCTGTGATGCAATACGACCAAAAAAAACACAGAAAACAAAACGGAAAATAAAGCGCACACACGGAATTGTCGTAATTTCGGGCGAACCATCGTGTCAAACATCAACCGTAAAAAAGATAAATTTCTCGGTGATTTATGACAACTGACTGGGTTGGAACGCCGTGCCTGGCCACAACCGAATTATTTTAAGATCGTTCAGAGAAGAAAGTCGTTCGTCAATTAGTCGTGAACAAATAGACGTATTCACTGAACGACAACACACAAACACACAAAATGAAATAGCACACACATAATAATCACCTTACATCAACTCATCGACCGGTGCAAACAAATCTTGACTCGTCTCGTCACACTCGTGGACGACACACAAATGATGAATGCAATCGATGAACGCAAATAATTCAACGCTCGTTGACAATTTCTTTAAGCAAATATGCAATTACCGTGCGACTCATTAAAATATAGTTCGTCGTCTGGATCGCATTATAACATGGGCTTGGTTAACATTTTTTTTATGCATGCTATGGACGGAAAAATAATCAATATCAGCTGCTGATTTTTCTGCGAAGCCATTCAAGTATCACTATGTCAAAACGCATTACAATGCACTCGATTCTTTTTCTGGTTCTTATTTCTTGGTTGCACTTAATTTCGTTTCTTTTTTCACAGCAAATCCAATAAGATATTCACTTTCAATTTTTATTTTTATTTTTTTTGTACTTTTCGTTGCTATTAGCTTAATTGGTTCGACACAAATATTGCGATGATTTGAATAATTGAAATTAGCACATGATACGTATTGTAGATTAAATTAAAAGTTATGTCTTTAAAAAAAACGTAGTCAATTGTTGGAAATTCGTTTTCGATTGTTTTTCCACGGAAATAAAGACGAACGGAACGGAAAGAATATTCAAGATGGCCGAACAGTGATTTCTGCACTGAAGACAACTCTTATCAAATGCCAAGATGAGCATGTTTCAATAATTTCGAATCCAACCTTTAAAATACGGAATAAACACACACATATCCTGTGCTAAAATATATGCGACTTTTTTTCGGGGCCATTTGATGTTTCGCTTCTGGCGTTCGAATAACGCAATGTTCGAAAATACAACAATTTTCGACTATAAAACCATCGCTAAATGTCATGGTACAAGATGTTTAGCATACATTTATGTATTCACAAGGGTCGATTTTTTGTATCATGTGTCAACTTTGGGACAATAAACAGCGAATTTGGTTTTCGAAAACTACCCCTATGCGATTCATCATTTCAACTGCTAGAAAATGTACTAAACAGAAACATCGAAGGAGAGAAGTCCTTTTTTCTTGGCGGAAATTCTCCGCCGGAGAATATTCGAATTTCGAAAACTTACTTAACTGACACCAAATATGCTAAAAATATATGGAAAAGCATTGACAATGATGCATTGCTTACCTTGTCTTCGGCTTCTTCGGCTCTCCCTTCTGCTTCAATCACACGTTGCTCTAGTTCGGATAGCTGAAAATACAAAGAAAATGTGAAATACATCATTTGTTTATCAATTTCTCAAAAGAGTCCTGTAATAAAACTAATAGTTTATTGGCATTTCTCACTTCATTTTGTTCAAAACGAAAATAAATTTCGATTCTAACGTAAACAGTACAGTGTTGAAATGCAATCTAAATAGTCGATGAGGAGAAATGAATGAATACAATCTCCTGAAAGTGTATTTCAGTAGCGTGGAATTCATTCTATTTTCGGGCATTCGATGGCAGATGGCGTTTTAATGTGATTGAGCTTATTTCCGTTCATTTCACTGTTCCTGCATTAGATGGTTCATCGGAAGGAATTGCGGTCGATTCATTTGAGTAGCCGCAAAAATGAATCTATGTATTATAATGGTTTGTTGTACGAGTGTAATGTGGGGAGGTAGAGCGATAAAAACCAAAACTTTGCATTGTTCCGCGAGCCCTTTTCTTGCTCTCTCTCTCTCTCTCTCTCACTCACTCTCACTATTTCTATGCGAAGGATTTTCGCTTGATTGAAAAAGGTTAAGGAGAGAGAATCGCCATTAGAATTATTGATTTTCATTACAACAATGCGAGGAGGTTCCCATTACCGCGCTATTATTATAAGTAGGTTTTAGGCTGTTGTACTCTCGCTCTCTAGTATTTGGCTCTTATGTCCGCTTCTCAGAGCATACAAGAGCAAGTAGCGCTTATAGATTGAATGAGCCGCCACAATAGAGAGCGTAATCGTATGCTCGTGCGTTTCCGTGCTAATGATGATTAGTTTCTATTTTTTTCCCTTGTATGGTTTATTTTTCCCTATTCTTCTTCTATGTTTGCGGGGATACTTTTTTTGTCGGTTTATGTCTAGATATGTGTGGTCGAACACACTATTCATATGTGTTCACGATTGTAATTTTCCGGTTCTCATACATACAATCCCACTAAATTACGATGGCTAAATGCGAGAAACGTTGGAATAATAAATTGGCATTAGATTTTTGTAATGTGTAGAATCTTGCAGGCCGTAACTGGTTGTGTGCGTGGATTGAAAAGTACCATGCGACGGCAGCAGCAGTAGCCACCACCACTACAAATACACGTAAGTTTTGTGTTGTGCAAAAGCATTTTATGATATCGGTTTGTCTGAACACAATGCGATAACCGAATGCGTGTGTGTTCAAGACACAGCGAGTGTGTGTATAGAATTTATTAACGAAAATCGAGTGGGTTTAGTTTAGTTACTTGAAAAGCGTTTGCTCGGCGAAATTGATTGGCTCACTTACTATTCGTTCCCTCGTTCGGTCTCGCTAGCTCACTGGCTGGCTCTCCCATACCGCCAAGCGCGCGCGGAAAAAGAGAGAGAAAACGAGCCGTATATCAAAAGATTTTTTATGGGGCCTTTTTTTATTAATATAGTGTAATAAAGCAAGCTTTATACATTCTGCGGTTGTTAGATTCGAGTTTAATGAATTTTTCATATGGTTCATTAAATACAGCAAACATAGTGCGTATTGTGCAAACATTGTGTGTGTGTGTATAGATATATATATATGGCCATTATGTGACGAAACCGAGAGCACTCAATTTTAAATCAATTTTGGCTACTGCTCCATCGCTTTCGGAAACGCTTCGAACCAGTCACACAGACACTCTGTTTGCCAATGATATTTTCGCTTCGTGACATTTTATCTAATTATTTCTTTAGAAACAAATTAAACATTTTCAATTAAAGTAAATGAAAAGAGAATTCATAAGTGATAACAATGGGTGTGCAGCTGCTTCGGTTCTCATTCCACCCAGGGAACCAGAGAGAGAGAGAGACACAACATACAGACACCGCACACCGTTCGCTGTCAGATAAATTTCAGTCATTTGCTATTCATTCGCTGTACCATTTTCACAGATAAAAATCAGCATGAATATGAAATAAGGACAAAAGCTTCAAGTTTTTTTTAATGAAGACTCCCCCAGTAATTTACGTTTTCTCCATCGTAGCACCGTTTTTTCGGCGCTTATCTCACACACATTAAATGTATCCCGATAGAATGGTAATGCTCCACTGTCACTTTCTGTCTCTGTCTCTCCTGTTTGCTGGTTTCGTTGAATGACACTTGCCAAGTTCCACTTTGACACACACACACACACACACACAGCATAAAATGTACGACGAACATCTAGCACGAAAATTGATTTACAAAATGCCATTAGATTAGTACCTTGTGAAACGCATGAAATTGCAATAATTTAATTAGACGTTTGATATGTTTGATGCTCGAATATACACGAAACCGGAAGCGAAGGGAAATCAACGCCCAACGGAGAATAAATGGAAACCAACATGAGAATTGAGCCGAATGAAAGCGAGTGGTGATTTGGACGGGTGTGGGGATCGAAATTGAGATAACAATCTGCTTTTGTGAAATACACAATCAACCGACTGCCAAGGAATTATGTTTTCACAAAGTTTCTTATTTCTCATTTTCTGTAGCTGCCACTTTCTGATGGGCTGCCAAGAGGTTTTCTCTTTCTTTTTTCTTGCGTTTGCCGTTGCCGTGTTTGTGCCATTTCTTTTTATTTTATCGTCATCGTCGTCGTCGTCGCGGTGTTTCTTTCATATGCAAAAAGGTAGTTGTTTGATGTGAGAAACAGTGCGAAAAAAAGGTGAAATTTATTCGCATTTGAAAATTGACGTGCGTTCGGTGAATGTGAGTGAGTGAATGGTTGTGTGTGTGTGTGTTCTCATTCATTGTTGGTTATTTTTCTCAATCACTCAGGTTTTGTGTTTGTGTGCGTGTGCTTGCGTTTTCCTTTTTGTTTATTTATTTATTGGGGAGGTTACGAGTGATTGATAGCTTTTTCTATTGGACGTTATGTATCATAAATATTTGTAGATTTACGCGTGTTTTGCGTTTCACTTTTTCTTTCACTTGTTCTCCGTCTTCGCCACAAAAGCAAATTGTAATTTTTTTTATTGTTCGTGCACACATTTTTGCCATATCAAAAGGTATGCGATTGAAACCAAGGGGACCGAATTTGGTACAAAGGTACAAAACACACGAAGAAGAAAGATGAATGTGTCTTATGTGCGTTGAGCATGTGTTTTTTTTCCTCTCAGTTGAATTCCACCTCCGTCTCACAATCACTCTCTCTCTCTCTCTCTCTCTCTCTCTCTCTCTCTCTCTCTCTCTCTCGCTCGCTTCTAAATGATGGAACGTTAGGGACGCTTCCTTGCACTCGAACAAACACGACGAAGATTTCTTACATTCAATTCCAGTTGTTGGTGAGCGATGTGTCTCTTTTTTCCTTTTTCTTTTCGTCGTACATAGCATATAACGCAGCACACACAAACCCGAAGCTCCACCGAAATATCTCTTATCTCCGAAAATGGATTGAAAAATCGACACAGAAATACAGAAATGAAATAAAATATCAAATACGATGAATTGGCGTGATAAATCTTATGGCAAAAGAATGATGTTGCCGTTTTTCATTTTCCACACACTCACGCCAGTCACCCACCAATCAAACAGTTGTGTACAGACTGAACACAGAGCGTGTGTGTACTGAGTCGCATTTCTGGTTTTTAGTCACACTTCATACACACGTTCAATGCAAGTATACAAAGAAAGAGGAACGAAAAAGGAAGAAATACAAGGAGGAAGATGAAGGGACCTTGTTCCTGTTTACGAGTGCTAATCGATAATGCGTTTTTTTGATTCAATTTTTGCACAGCGATTAATATTTAAACATATTGCTATGTAATAACTGTAATAAGAGCATAAACACAGCTATTTCGATCAACGTAGAACGTTTGAAAGTGTTCCCATCGGGAAAATAAAGTAAATGGAAAATGCTGGAGCATTGCTTCAAAATAAATGTAAGTATAAAAGCATGTTTCTTCCACTGAAGCCATTCCTTTAAATTTGAATTCGATTGGATTTTTTTCCATACAAAGTGGATTATTATTCAGCTCGACGAAATCACAAGAGCAGCAACGGAACGGAATTTAATCAAGGCGTACAACACCAACCGAATGAACGACCAAACAAACGAAACGAACCGAACGAATGGGGAAAAAATCTTAAATAAAATCGTTTCGAACTACATTGTTTCTCACTTCCGAGAGTTGTGCAAACGGTATATTCGGTCGGAGAATCTTATTAAATTTGGTCATGCCAAGATTTAATGATCTAATAAAAATCTACTTTTACTCGCAAAATTCGCCCACCGAATGCGAAATCAGTCGGGTGTCTTGCGATATTCGCAAAGTTTCCATCGAACCGTTTATTATTCATAAACCTAAATTGATGAAATTTCGAATTTCATTATTTGACCTAGATGGTAATTCATTTTCTCGTACATTCTTTCCGCATTTCCTTCTTGCACTAGCAACCCAGACATCTTTTGTTCCGTGTTCAAATGTTTCTTTCTGTTTCTCTATCGTTTCGATATGAATAGAATTGCAAACGAATATCGCAAAGATGGAAAATAACAATGATTAATCGAACTAAAGTAAACTTGAATCGCTTCGCTTTGCCTCGTATCGATGGCAGAAAAAAGGCTTTTTCTATGGCTTGAAAATTTAATTTTGATTTCACAATTTAATACTGAAACAACGACATATGGCCTCTCTTCTGTCGCAGCATCAATTCATTTATATATCATATATAATATATGTATTATGTAGAATGAACCGAACCGAAGCGACAGAGTTAAATCCAATTTCAATTAATTCGTGCAAGCGACTAAAATATGTATAATTAATTGTAAATGGCTGGTGTTTTATATATTAATTGAAATTTTAACGCAAAAATAACCATTGCGAATGGGGATAAGCGCAAAATTAATTGCGGACTGGGCGTCGACATTAACGAACGCGAATTGGATGCTACTCGAAATTTGAGTGACACTCGGAAAATGTTTTATCGATTTTATTTTTTTTTCTCTGTCGTTCATTGTTGTTGTATTGTTGTGTGCACATCGGTAACATTCGATCAAATTGCTTGG